TCATTGTTTTACTGTCTGTAAATTAGGCTGCCCGCGGATCTTGTTCTCAAACGCATTTAAGCCACGTTGAAAGAAAGGGAAATAACAGTAGTAACATAGTAAAAGAAAAAGAATAAACTATACAATCCACACGTTGAGAATCTACCCTTCAATTAATTATGGTAAAATGTTTTTTGTAGTGATCTCTTAAAATATTATTTCGAAGGATAGCCATCTAGCTGTGAAGGTTCATCAGGCCCGTGACCAGCAATTTCAAAAGGTGGTTCTTTTTTTTTTTTTTGAAAAAGCGGACTTTTCACCATGAAACCTTCCTGTACCTAGACAAAATTTTAACCAGAGTGTACCCTTTTCCCGGCAAAAAGGTGGGTTCTTTTGAAACCCCCCTGGCTACGTGCCTGTTCACGGAGTTCGATGACAGGGACAGACTCCAGAGTAGTTGCGATATCCACCGTAAGATGGTTAAATGGAATTTCTTATATTTGTTGTTAACAATGCATTTATTGTGGAATTTTATACCCTCTACCAGGGCCACAGATTGTCTTTTCACTAGATATCTTAACAGATATGTCTCTGGTTAAATAGATGGCTAATCTCTGCACTGTGACCCTGTTATGTTTGCATAACTACTCAGGCACAGTCACTTAGCAAGTCCCTGCCAAGTCCCCTTGACAGTAATCAAGATAGTTAATTGCTCACCTGTGACAATAAAACAGCCCTTTAGCAGACAGACAAGACAAGGCAGGTTGCGCAACAAGCGTTAATTACATTGGGACGAAGCACAGCTCTCACTGAGCTCCTGCAGAGCAGGTACAATGCCATCCGTGCGTGTGCAGATTTACTTGCTCCCATCTGGCCAAATGTCACAGGGTTGCCTCAGCAAATATGTCCACAATAATAACTGTGGCCCTGGTAGAATTTTTACATGTACTCTCATAGGGTAGAATTTTTACATTTCCTTTCATATGAAGAGTTGTTTCCCTTTAACCAAGAGGCCAAAACAGACCAAAGAATGTCATTTTATTAAATACAGTTGAGCTCAGAAAGAACGCTCCAAATTTTTATGTTTGTTACCTCTTGTTGCCAAAAGAAACTACCTAGCTAACAGTGATAATTATAGGATATCAGAGCTGACACCTCTGTGGTCACAGTCTGTTAATTTAGACAGGGGATAACACCCCATGCTGCAATAAATCACCAAACTATTGTCTGTTGATAATGCAGTGAGCAAACATGCACTGTGTTCAAATAACAAAATCCATTTATAAAAGAGGGGGCAGCGTTATAAAAAGTAAACAATTAAGTTGTTAAAAAGTGTTACCAAAATTTCTGAGCTTAACTGTACATGTAACTCCAAAACATGGTAGTTAATAAAAGAATGCAAGTGAAAATAAAAAGAAGAATAAATGTTATGAAGAGAAAAGACTTTGAATTCCATATTTTTGCCTGTTGCACTCCTGTATATATTTTTTATTTCATGTAATGTACAAATAATGCAAATAGATAGCACTATTGGAGAAAAATTTTTATCAAAGGAGAAATTCTGAATGGTTAAAACTATTCAACAAAAAATAAAATTAAGTACTTAAACATATAATTCATAGTAATCAAAGTATACACGGTATGTAGGTGCTTAAAATGATAATTTTATCTAATTTCTCATTTTAAATTGAGAATCCCTTCAAGTTTAACTCTTCAAGTTAATGCACTTATGCTTATTGGTACATGAAGAAATATATACTGGTAAATATATAACACTACCCTGTAATTCAAGGCTGATAAGGGAGGCAAGTTTCTAGTAAACTCCAGGACCCCATTCCACAATTAAAAAAATAACATAATCACAGGCAGGGGTGGATTGAGACCGTCTTAAGGGTCTTCCGAAAGACGTTCAGATTTCCAAGTTAACATTGGTGGGTATCTAATTTTTTCTATCAGAAGACGGTCAAATTTGGAGGATAGATCAACAAAGATAATTTGGAAGACTGTCAGAAAAAAGTTCTGGTTCCGCCCCTGACAGGTTTCTTTTGCAATTAATGAAAATATTTACTAAGTACACAATTATAGAACTGGACTGAACTTATGTGTGTTTCTTTAATAAGGTTACCCTTTTCATATTTTCTGCTGAACTGGTGGAATTTTCACATGTAAAAATGTACAAAAATATTATTCTATACTACTTTATTAAAACTAACATGACTTGAAGACGTTTCGTCTATTCTCATGTTTGTGTAAGCTATAGGGTTGGGACCCTTTCCGATCTTAACAAATGCACAAAAAACTTTTGTGTTCCCCACTTTTCGCCGTCTTATTTTGGACAACTTGGATTAGAGATGAAGTCCAGAGCATTTCCTCTCCAAGACATGATGAAAACACCAGCATCGACAGACCCGAAAAAACATAATCTGAAAAAGAAGTTCAAGCGTGAATAAACGTATACGTAAGAGGTTAAAAGAAAAAAGTGAATCGTGGCAAAATGAAACATTTAAAAAAATCAAACATTTGTGATTTAGTCATTATGTTCATATAAAAACTCATGTACACAGCCAAATAAACAGTGCCCTTTTGCCCTTATTAATGCAACAAGAGACTCGTTTGTTGTGCACACCTCTGTTCTAAGCACGTGTATTTGTATACATGCTCCGCAGAGAATGGTACATAATTTAATATCAGATAATTGTTATTTAAATTGACAGCAGCTGTGCTCCATAGTTTAACTGCATTCTAAAGAACTTTAATATTTCCATGTCATAATCAATTACCTTGTTCACAAAAACTTGTTATTGAATTCTTCTTGAGCTTCCTTACTGCGAGACTGCAGTGATTCCCGGCATGACCCAACGTTGACCTCACCTAGGAAGAATATTTTGAAGAGGTTACTCAATGATTCAAATGGGAAAGTCCACTTTTTTGGATCACAAACAATACATAAAACTGTTTACATCGTTTTGAAAGATAAATAGGTGAGTTTATTTTCATTCTGAAGCTTCTGTGAGACAAAATTAGCGGCATCAATTGTCGTCTGATCAGAGGAAGACAGTCAAACTGATTTTTTTTTATTTCGCAATCTTAAATCTTTGTGATAAACGTGGCGCAAGTTTATAAAATAGATTGTCTAAAAACAACATTAACGCGTAAGATTTATTTTCATATAAAGCAATTCTATCATAACAATGCGGATCGTGCTTAAAATTAAATTAAATTAATAAGTGGGTCAAGCGGTCCCTGGGTCAAGCCCACTGTACAGGTAAGTCCTCAGCCTTAGCCTTGAGGACATTGTGTGTGTACTAGGGCAATAATACCAGTACTGCCCCATTGTTATCTGATTAATGGGTTTGTGTGTGTGATGTCCAACTTGGATGTTAACACAGTTACCCATAGTCTGCAGCTTTATAAATAGCACTAACTTGAATTCATAAGCAGTGATTATCGATATTTGATTTTGACAGTGACACGTATTAAATACACAGAAATACGTACAGAAATAGGCATATTTTTAGCTAGCAAGGTTTTGTGTAAAGATATTTTCAATCTCTAGACCTTATTTAGATTAAAGAAATTGTAGAAACCAAGCATATAGAGGAAGACATGCATCACTCCCGTGATTTTAATGTTTTATTGATTGCAGACTAAAGTAATAACTGTATTATAACTGACATCTATTCTGCCACTATGTAGAAGTGGTCTGCTGTCAGACTTTTTTCCCTAAAATTCATATTAACTTCAAAGAATGTATAAACATAGTGGCTTATTAGTCTCAGCATGGGGATGGTAGTTCTGGTAATTCTATGTTATCTTGTTACTTACCTATATGCCTCTGGGATTCACATTATGTCTTTTGCACTGTATATATTTTTTACCAGGACACTTGTGAACAACATCTGGGTTATGTACAAATAATATATTGAACCATGGTGAATTCCTGGAAAGAGAGAATATAAATAAATTTACCCACATGTGTTGTAGAGTAAATTGTGTTTCAAATGTGCGAAAGTCATTCAATCTGAAAAGCAGTGAAGAAATAAAAGTCAAATTTTATTAAATGAACTGTGTCTACTCCATATATTTATACAGCACTGTAAAACATTCCAGGTGTTTACCTTGTCTATTTGATAAATGTTATGATAATAGTTTTAAGCCTTGGGAAACAAAACAATATTGAGAATATTCTCAAAAATGCAACACTAAATGCTCAGCTGATCATTCTGAAAGGATGAATCATTTAGAGATGTTCACTTTTGCTATGAATATAAAAATTACAATGTACAAAAAGCTCACTCTCAGCACACACCCATTTAAAACCAGTTTATTATGTAATTAGGAGGTTCTTGTGATTTATTCTTAAATTGCAGTATTTTAGATGTTGTTTTGAACTTTTCTTTCACTTTATGAACATTTGTAGCATTCTTAATATAACTTTATGTGATGAATCAAAAATGCTTGTGAAAATGCTGCACTTTCTGATTACTTATGACGAATGTACTGATAATCAGTATCAACTTCAGCAAATTTCCTGCTGTGTTTTTTTTAAGATGCACACCAAACATTCATATTAAGTGGGAAGAAAACGTTTGAGATTAAATCAAGTCCATATATCATTCTGTTGTTTGCACTTTATCAGGAGTATTCTTTTGGGACGATCAATATGTGGGAGAAAATGCCAGTTGATGCTCATACCAGACAAAAATAGACAGAAGCCTGCCTAAAGTGCATCTACTGAATTCCTGCAGTCTGTTTATCATGTTTATCCACATTAGCTCATTATAATATCATTATGAATGTTGTGGAGGTTGCTGTAGAATACCATACATGCAGTAATAACATACCCAAATACATACTAATTCAAGTACATTTAGTGGCTGTCTTTATTGTTTTGATGATAGGCTGTGATATAAAATAAATGAATATTTCTTTCTCTCGAGAGCATATTTCTTCTTAGGAAATGATCTATGCAGTAGAGTGTTAATAAATAAGGATACTGGGAATTGCTTTAGCTGTGTATGTTCCAAGGCTGTGGGCACAGTTGTGTTGAATGCAGGTACTGGGAGTCAAATTATCCAGCTGTTCCAGGAAAAGGGCACACATAAGGTTCTATATATATCCTACATATTACACAGTCGGGATGTTCACCCCACTTTGCATACAGGCGTATTGGAAGATATTGACCAAAATGCATGTACTAGTATGTTAGATATTAACAGAGTATAATGTTTACTGTGTGGTCAGTATTGGTCATCTATCAGGCAGATTATTTTGTGGATGCTGAGGCAGATACAGCTGAGAGTGCCTGCACATCTGCTAAGGAGGAGAAGCTGAGGTAAGGGATTACTGGCAGTGGCAGTGGTAGCTGACTCTTTTTGGATGTTTTGTTTACAAATAGAAACCCATCTATATTACCAGGTAATGCAGTTTGCTGTATGTAAACTCTCAGGTTAACTCTATTAGTTTATCACAATGTTTGTTATTATGTAAAAGTTGACAGGTAAGGCATTTATAGATTTATCTAAACAAATGGATGTCTGCTTCAGTGCTTTTTATTTTAGCAGATACATGGTTTTGCAAACTTGATTAGATGATTTCCTGTGTATTTAATTTTCAGTAAAGCTATTGAACCTCTGTTTCATTCTTTGTGCTATAAAAATGTTTTTAATGACAGTGTTTTTATTCAAGTTGCTTGGTTATCAAATGGATAAGGGTGCTTTTATTAACGAGAAGAGGAAGCAATGTCATTTATTGATTTCATGTTAAAAGGATAAAAACTCTGCATATGAGATCCATCTTTCACAATAAATACATTGTAAACAATTCATAGAAATATAATAAATTCGATTTTACAACCAAAATGGTGATAATTGCAATTATTCCGGAACTTGTGCTTGCCATTGTGACCTCCATAGATGGTTGCCCTCTGTAATAATCTCTTAAAAATTATTGAATAGTAAAAAAAAAACAAAAAAACAAACACATTTTTAGAAAAAAAAAAAAAAAAAAAAACAGGGACTAACTTTAAATGAAAGGGATTCAATAATCATTGGGAAGTATGGGAAAATTGTCGTTTACTCCAGGAAAATCAATTTTTTTGCTAAAATGAACAGTTGTTATCCCTTTAATAAAGAGAGTCTGTGAAATATGCTAATGTTGTATTGTTCTGGTGGATCAGTGCAGATGCACCTACAGAACTATCTTTGAAAAAAGAAGACAATAAAATAGCAAGATGTTTCTGGCTGTAGCCAAAGCTACCAGTGTTTCCTATTAAGCAATAACATATTTTGCATATATATGAGCCAGGATGATTGATATCTCTGCAGTCAGTCAATAGTTTGGTGTACCTGGATATGATTTTTTCCCAAAGGAATGTGTAAATATGGAATCAGCACATTGTAGTATATTAGTTTATGCTAATTAGACTGTCTTCAAGGATTTTTTCCTTTTAAGGTCTGCTGACAACAACATGTCTGGAATGTTACTAGAATTCATTCTTAGGAGATAGAAGTTTATGGCATAGGTTTTCATTCTCTCTCAGAATTATTTCCAATACTCAGAACACTTTTTATGTACAGACACAGATGTGTCTGTACATATTGCCATCACCTGCGTCTGTCGTCGCCGTCGCCGTCCCTGTCGCCGTCGCCGTCGCCGTCGCCGTCGCCGTGCACTTTCATCGNGTTTTGATATAATGTTTTGCATCTATTGTAATTTGTAGCAGTGCCATTTCTTGGTCTCAATAAAATTAATAATTACAAAAAGTGACAATGTTTCAATGTTTTCTGATCTGATCGTAGCTATTTGTTAAGATAAATAGTTTTTATCAGTTTGATTAATATTGTTTAAAATTATAAATTTACAGAAAGTACATTGAAAAAAAAACTGCTGAAATTAGTATTAAAGTAACATGATACATCATTTTCATTATATCATTCAAGTAAAAAACAAATTGGTGGGCAATGCAAAAAAAAAAAAAAAAAAAACTGTTCAAAAAGATGGCCTTATCTGCATGTATGTATTTTATAACATGATTAAAGGGCATTGTAATACTTTTGTAATATTGTTGTTATTTAACTTAAAGGGATAATAACTCTTCGTTATGGCCAAAAAATGAAATTTCCTGGAGTAAACAACAATTTCCCCATGCTTACCAATGGTTAATGAATCCATTTCTACATTTAAAGTTAGTCCCTGTTTTTTTTCTAAAAAGTTTGGTTTTTTGTTGAAATCTCTTAAGAGATTATAACAGAGTATAGCCATCAATAGAGGTCTGAAGACAAGCTCAGATATCAGAATAATAGCTATTACTCCTGTTTTTGCCGTAAAACAGAATATGTTATATTTCTATGAGTTATTCACACTGTTTTTATTGTGAAATATAGACCTCATATGAAGAGTTATTATCCCTTTAACTAACATTTTCAATATTGCAAAATGCATTTATATCAACTAAGGCCTCTGGAAAACTTTTAATGGCAGTCAGCAAATGTTCTTGAAGTAAAAAGGATATCATTCCAGGCACTTGATTCCAAGTCTTAATAAACAAAATACTTATACTTGATAAATTGGCATACGTATAGCCCATGCAGTGAGTTAATTGGATGTAAAGAACCCTTTGTTATGAGATGAAAGGAAATTTTACGATGGCAACAAATTTATTGGAATGACGTCATTGTACTTTACACATTTCAATGTATTGTTTTTTTTATGAGATAAATATAAGGGTGGATCTATTGCAAAAAACAGTGAGTGGTCATACTTTAATGTCTTCATTGATGAAATCTGAAAGACTGTAGGCTATATTCTATATCCACTGACACAGTGACACAATGGACCTTGGAAAAAATCACGATTGTTTTCTGTACCAAAGAAAATGGCTTCAGCTGTATAATGCATTCTTTTGTATGGTTAAGTGCTGGCATTTTGCAATCAATTCACATGCCAAATAAAGTGCTTTAAAGTAGACTTGAAAACAAGGATTTTTGAGCTTCGATTATTCGCAGTGTCATGACAAGTAGACATAGACACTCTATATATAAACACCTATGTATTAAATGAAATTGAAAATGTATAATGACATCAGTGTCAGCTTTGGTATGTTTATATATATTCCATTTTTTTTGAATACATATTTTTATTTATTTTCACTAGATTTAAGACTCTTTTCACATTTATAAAGGTTGATCTTTCTCAAGCTTTGTAAACTTGAGTATTAGCCAACTCCATAGAAAGGCTTTGTAAACTTGAGTATTAGCCAACTCCATAGAAAGGCTTTCCTATCACTTATAAATAAAAACATTAACATTTAAAGCACCTTGAAACTTTTAGTGGTTTTGGTTTGACTTGGAGTTTGATTGATTAAGGTATGAAAACAATAGGTAGTGCATTATACATTTGAATATCTTTGGTGTGTTCGTTGTATCCTTGATGAGGACCTTTTAAATATAAGTACAAACTCAATACTGTTAAAAAGCATCCTGAAGTAATGACTTTTTTATGCTTTTAAACTTTGGGTACAGGTAAAGGTGTGTGCCTGTCTTACCTGCCAGGTATTTCATCATGCAGTGTACATCACTGAAGACTCCAGTTCAGTCTACGTTCCCAGTCACACGTAGACCTGTGCACAGTTTACATAATATCACAACAATTCGTTTTAAGCTTACACAGTGAGGTTGTTTAACTGATAAGGTTTAGATCAGCCAATCAAAAGCCAATTTACTTTTCAGCATAGGTAACATTACTGATTAAAAATTGTGGAGAATTTTTTTGACACCCAATTTTTAGTGAATAGCATGTTGTACAAATACCCCACACGGTTTAGCTTATCTTTTGCTATGATTTACATATTTCATTACTAATTTTTTTCAATATTTTGTTATTCATACCAAAGCTTTTATAGTAATAAAATGGTGAAATGTTCATTTTTTGGAATATAGTATCAAACAATTTTCTTTTTATGTATTTTGTGCCACATGTAGAAAACAATTATGAATAAATATTTAAAGCTGTGGCACCTGGATATTATACAAGATTTGAATAACCTACAGAAATAAAGGTGACTTTGTCAACCCTGAACTCTTCCAATCTGTTATCAGGGACTGCTCCTGACCAGTTTGTGCCATACAGCTGTGTATAAAATGGGATTGTACGATTTTAGAAAAATCATGATGATTTTAGCCACAAAATGTGCAGGCATTCAACTTGTACTGCCGGGGGAAAATGTACTTTACTGGGGTAAATATCTGTAAATTTTATAGATCATGTGTTTTGCTATACATATAGATTTTTTCCGGTATATTATGATTTATTGCAGTCTGCACATTAACCAGTGGTCTAAGCCTGCGGCCAGTAAAAATTTGTGCAGACCAGCAACATCTCTTAGCATGTGTGAATTTTGCGAGTTTGCAGTATGTGTCTTTTTAAGTTTTCATTAGAGCTTTCAATTTGATTTTTTTTTTCTGAAATGTAATCATTACATGATGATTCTTTTTAAAAAAATGAAAAAATCAGTCTTGTCAACACTAGTTTTAATGCCATGGGGGTAAATGTCCAGTCTTATTGATATTTTTTTGTATGGACCAGTGAATCTGCATTTCTGACCAGGAGATTTTAGGAATCTGGTGGTAAAGTGTCCAGTAAGCTGAAACTTTTATGGACCATATTTTTTTTGGAAATTGATAAGAGATAGGCTGCCCTTAAAATTTCCTTTTAAATTGAAATAGGTATATTTTCAAGGAGACGTAAGGAGCAGCTTGCTTGCTTGCAATTATTTATTAATAATCTTGTATAAATTATTATTACAGTCATGTGTTTCATGACATGATGATACCAGTAGAACATTTTTGTTATTCAACTTAAGTCAGAATATATTTATGCATGGTGATTGAATTATTCATATTTATTACAGCATAATGCTGTCTTATCTATACATCAATCCCCAGCCTGTGACAGCATATGCGTAGGCCAAGGATGACCATCTGTCTGGGCCCAGTGATGTCATATTGTCTGTACATCAATGTATGACATTCCATTCTAGGACTGTTTGATTTTCACACTAATCACAGCTATTGAGTTCCTATTGAATTTTTTCAACTCGAAGGCTTTCAAGGGATTGGTGGCTTATTGACTTACACAGACGGCTTAACTTTGTGATTATGCTGGAATGGTTGTGTTAAGTCAGAATTTCCTCAAGAAATGTCAGTTTTATAGCAGTATCGAGTTTTTCTCCTGTTTTACCTCGTTTCACCAGGTATTGATTTGCTGTACTAGAAGTGAACTGTCGGACCTTAGCTGGCATACCCAGCTATGGGACTTATTACAGACATGATAGTAGAAACATCATTTATTATTTCTGGATGAATCAGCTGTTTGCCTGATTATAGGAATACATTATGCTCAGTGAGCCACCATAACAAATTGATTTTTAGTTTTATAACCAAGAACTTGGTTGTCAGAGCTGATATTGCACACATGTGGGACATAGGACTGCACATATTGGATATTTTGGAATCTTTGAATATCTGAAATAGGTATTTCCTGGCATAATCAAAGTAAAGGTTGACTCATCATAGCCAAAGGATGTTCTTTTCCTAAGGTAGGAATGTTTGGTCTGACTATTCTTTATGGGTCTATGAATCTAAGAACATAAAATCATATTTTCATAGGTAGTAAAACTATTATATGACCTTCAAAATTGTGCAGTCATGTATAGGTTTGGTTTAAACAATGTGCATCTTAATATTCACATGCATATGCCGAATGCCATGCAAAATAAGTAAAAATAGTTATGATATTATATTGTTTAAAGAAGTAAGCAAATTTCTCGTACTTGCAAATCATCTATCCCTCTCTGCACTTGGATTCTACCTTTAATAGAGTTTATAAAGGATAATGTTGTTTAAAATGACTGGCCAGTCATTTAATACAAAGCGATCATCATCCTAGACTCTGATGGTAATATCAACATCAGGTACCCTCCAGAAAAAAAACTTAAGGTCTTAAATTGTTTTAAGGTGTATGTTAGGTTTTATAAGAAGCTGCGAATGACAAACATCAGCATTTTGGGGATTTTCAAACCCATGGAGTGCACCTGTGATGACAGAAATTCAATTTGCTGCTAGTATCACCACACATTACCTGTTATATTTGCCTAGACTGCTAGGCTGAACATTATGGTCAAATATCTGATATTATGGAATACAGAATTTATACATTATTTATCAGTGTGAAGAGTATTTGGAAATATTGACATACTGCTAATAAGACAAAATGGATTATATCACTTGTAAGGTCCTGATAAGATTAAACCATTTGCACACTTCTATGCTTAGTCATAATTACCACGTCTGCACTCAAACAATAAAATTACAGAAATTATTAATTTATTTTAGTACAAATGTTTCATAGCAAATGGAAATATTATATTTTACATCTACAAATAAAAGAGATTCTTATACACATAGTATCTGTTTTATGGCTCATATATTAATTAGGCTTATGACTGTGATTCTTTGACTGCAGACCAAATATGACCGCCCCACTTGAAAGCCTACTGCATAATCCCCTAGGGTATCTATTCAGTGTCTAAGGCTGTATTCCCAGAGCTTTTAGATCGATCTGTCCCCGCGGGGAGTCTCACTAGATTACTGTCAGATAATCTGGCTTAAATGTCCGTCCCGCCTACTACAAGCTGTAAGGGGGTAATTAACTTTTGTGTCCACTCAGCTGACAGTTATTTAGCGTGAACCCCCAGGGAGTTAGATCGATCTAAAGTAGATCGATCTAATCTCTGGAAATGGGGTCTAATAGGGTATTATGTGGCAAGCTTTATAGAAGGCCAGCCATATTTGATCTGTGGTTCAGTTAGCCCTTGGGTCAACTTGTTCTGAATGTGCCCATATGGTTTTTAAAAAATCATTTGTTGACAGTTAGGGTGCATCTATTGTAACTTTTCTCTTTCTAATTATTGTCCTAATCTTGATATTCTGCAGCTTCATCTATCAGGCCTTTTCTCCTGTAACCTTTCCTTGTGACATTTTGACATTAGAATAGATAATAGCTGCAACTGGAAATATCATCAGCCCTTAATTACCCCATTAATTATAAAATATCTAAAAGTGCTGCATATAAAGCAATCTATTGGTCATCAAGACTTGTGACATCAGTGAGATTTTATCTATATGACTCTTCTTTTGATGAGATGAAAGTCATCCTCACTGACTGAGATTTCATATAACGTAAATTTATGTTGAAAAAGGTGAAAATTACATTCAAGGTGTTTGAAAAAGCAAAACTAAACTTTTATCAAGTAGTAAATAGATAGCTGTTCTATTTTAATTTCCTGGTGCCCAAGCGCTGGCACTAGATATATTGTTATCTGATTTTATCTTTGTGATGCTTTGCTTTTCATCACAACCTCATAGAGCACAGTAGATAAAATTTATGAAATGTAAAAAAACTGATAAAATTACAACAAACTAAATTTTTTCAGTGCCCAAGGTGATTATTAAAAGCTTAAAAGTGATGTACAAACAGCTCCATCCAATAGAATTACTGGTTTATATTTACCTTTTATTAATGATTGTGATGCAGCTTAATGCACTTAAAGTTTCCTAAAGTGTGTTTTGGTACATGAAGTAATGCACGTTCACAGACCAATTTATCTTTAACTGTTGAACACCTTTGATATGGTAATAAGATGTAAATTATAGTCTCGCCTGCCACCTGTAATCTTATAATACAAGTATGGTGGTGGATATCCACGATAAGTAAGAGTGCCATTATTATATTTGTTAATTTCTTTCTTTTTTATTTTTTTATTTTTTGTCCAATTTAGTGATAGTTTTGTCATTTGTTCCTCTTATTGTATTTAGCTAGTATGTGTTCCATCATTTGTCAGGTAGGTGTACAAAGACACTGTGTGCACAATAGAAGGTAGGAACTTTTAACAGCTGGCCAAATAATTGTCAACATGAGGGCAGCACAAAATTAAATCAAGTTCAGAGAGCAATGAAAAATTATTGGCATTTTAGAAAACAATGTATAATCACTTTTGTGCTTGGCAAATATAAAAATAGATGAACAATATTATATATTTATGTTGCTATCACTCTTAACACGATAAGATAAAGTTTCATGTAGTTAATTGTTATGGCAAGCATGTCATTGTGCAATTTTAGTTCCAAAAATGATAAAAATATTAATAGCCATTTTAAACTTGATATTTTAAACAAGATATCTGTACAGATCAATAGGTATTATTTCCATATGTTTGTATTACCTAGTGATAGCGGATCAAAATCTCAAAGTTTTTAACTGCAAATATACAATTAGCCCTCTTTAAAACAAATAATTATTCTCTTCACTTATTTTTGCGTATATTTAGAGTAGACCTAGACACTCACAAGGCAGACAGTCAAATGTTTGTATGATATTTCTATGGTTTCTTAACTGATATTGCTGTTACTTATATGCCATTATCCAACATTTCTTTTTGATAATTTATACCTATACAACTGTTTGCATATTAGTATACAGGTACCCCTTTTTCCAAAAACCTATAAATTATACAGAATAAATTCAATAATCAACAAAGAAACAACAAGGAAACACAAAGGTGGGGGAAAGCCCATGCACTCAACAGTAATCCTATTTGTTGATTTTTCTTTTGTTGGGTTTTGGAATGAATAAACAAACTTAAATGTGAAATTTGAATGAAAATTCTAATGGTTGTTTTGACATGGACTTTGAGTCGACCTTACCCTCTGAGAATTCATAGACACGTTCATCTTGACAAAATGACATCACGTTTTGTTATGGGTACATGAAGGACTAAATAAGCTGGAGGTCTTGCACAGATACATAGATTATGTAGGTATTTAGTTCAGAGATCATGCTTTTCCAGTTGGCCTTTGTTTAAGTCAGACGACATTGACACTTTTGTTTCAAGGTGATTGTAGCCATGCTCAAATATGATTGTGGAGTGCACGTGTATGGTGCCATTAACCACAAGCACGGTTTCACTTGATACCTCATTTTCTCTTTCTGCCACATATGAATCACCAGGACTTTCATTATGATTTGATCTGATTTTATCAGATACGTGAAGTCAAAATATAATTTTTGTTGAGAAATTCATTGATTAATAGGTGAAATGTAAGGTTGCTATGCGAAGGAGCTCAATATTTTCTCATTTTTTTATTCCACAGAATCCAGGGCATTGTCAAATTAGGCAATTTTATTTACCTTTCCTAGCAAATTAACTGTTCTAGGCCAGTGCTTAATGTTTGAAGGACAAAAATAATTTGGTTTGACTAAAAAAAGGGCTGATTAGTCATATTCCTATATTTATAAACAAGCACATTCAGCCACTTATGACACTATTATTTATTTATTTATTTATTTATTTATTTATTGTTACGGCAACACTGTTCTATCTGCTCTATGTCCCACATCTTCAGTCCCTGGTCTTCCGCTGCAAGTTATGGGGTATGATTGAAAAGAAATTATGAGACAAAACATTTCATTTTAGGGGCACCAGCAGCACTGTACCGTACCTTGCCACCCCTACAGATTCCAGCCTTGGTGCCAGTGCCAGTGCCACTACTACTCCTACAACTCCTCCGACTACTACAAGTCATATTGACTGTGGCACCTGCCCTGCGGGTGTCAACTTGTGCTGCCGCGACACTGGCAAACTGGAGCTGAATGACAGTAACAACAAATCAGAAAAGTTCTGTGAAGATGATCATTGTCGAGAGACAGAAGCAGAAGATGGTTTAATGAATCATCATAAAGAGGCTAGCACGTTAACAGGTAAGGAATTTTTGTTTGTTTATGAATGACAGCATATGGCACAGGCAAGTATCCCTTTAAAAAAGGCGGTGGGGGCATGGACATAATGAGAGACTTTTTCTCATTATGTCCATGGTGGGGGTTAAATACCTTAGTGATGTCCTGGTATCATTTAAGATGGTGTACTGAGATGTCATCAAGGAAAATTGAAGTTTAGTAATGTGTTTGGTACTCTGGATAATTAATTAAGAAATTCTTGTGTTAGCCTATAATTGATTCTTCAACCTACAATACATGAAAAACATGCCTATGTAAATAAATTTTTGAAGGCGCATAATCTTAAAAGTGATAGAGCACCCTACATATATTTGTAAAATGTGACACCCTAGATCGATGTAAAATGTGACTCCCTAGATCACTCTATATATATAGAGAAGCTTTCATAATGAAACTGGTCTCGTTACCGTATTCTCTTTCTTATCAAAATATAACTGATAGCTATAAAAAAATAATTTTCCTAAAATGAAGTAATTTTTCTTCAGTCAACAGCTAATTATTGAAATAGTTTTTACCTCCAATATTTTGATTTATATTATATTTATGTTATGATCTTCATCAGGGAATGAGGCTATCCAGGTGAATGTGTTCTGTTAGACATCAAAACATTGGAGGTAAAAGCTATTTCAGTATTATGCTGTTGACTGAAGGAAAATTACTTCATTCTTATACCATAGCGCAGCTGATGAAATTCTTTTCTGAGAGTTTATGGTCTTTTTGATACCTTTTCGATAAGGGACTGACATAAAAATCTGTTGAAGTTCAGGTTTTGTCTAGGCAGTCATTGTATTAGAGGTGACACTGCCATTGCAGTATCATCTCAACCAAGTGATGAAAATCACAAAGAGGGTGTGATGAGGCTTCTTACACAAATGATTTAAATTTAATCATTGATCCCCCAGATATGTGTGCATAATAATAGAAAATAAATGAAAGATAATTTTTGAAGTAATTTCATAATTATGAAATTGCAATTATCTCTCTATACTTGTCTCAGAAGGTGAAGACTTTTTACCATATGTATACTTAGTATTATATAATACTCCAGTACTACCAGTGACGGTGACCTGCTGTCACCCTGTTGTTAATAAATGTACTGTCCAAACTTTCACACTGAGTAACCAAGCAGTCAAAAGACTAGCCCCTGGCCAGTGGGCTGCTTATTCCTAAAACTAACATGTTATTATATATCCTTTCTTTTATATACTGTACTATGGCACAGTGGAAATAAATCATGCTATATTGATATAAAGCACAGGCAGCTTAGCTCATTTCCTATAATTAGAAAGGAGTGAGAGAAAAAAGAGAGAGAGATAGCAGAGTATTCTTATATATCAAAGTTCAAAGCATTACAAATCTTATCACTGCTGCAGCATGGAATTCCATATGCAGACCAGAGTGTTATTGGTTTGAACATATTGACCTTTAAGTACTGATATGTATTATGTAAAGCAGCACGGTGTCTATGTGTAAGTGAGCTGGGGTTTTGATTTCCCTATCACCATGTGAACATTTTCTCCCAAGTTGCAGGAATATCTCATTACTTTTGGCACATAGATGTGATTTGTAAGTAAACTGCATTCCTTGATTACTTTTTATTGATTGGGTAGCTGGCTTCCAGCCAAACCTTATTAGGGGTTATTTCCATTCTTACTGTATAAATGTGAATATCTAATAGTATAACCATTCAAGTGGGAAAAAGGATTTCATTTATGATGCTATTATGCTGTAAAAATTTTATGAAATTCACATATAGAATTTTATCTGGTTCAAGAACAGTGCTGATACCTTATGCAAACATCAAGGAAAAACCCTCTCCGGTGTTTTTTGTAATATGTGATGAGTACGTGCTGCCATCTTTTGAGAAAGCTGAAACTAAACTGGTTGTATATACCAAGCTTGTGCAATAAATAATGCCTCGAAAAAGTGAATCAATCGAATGACACATAAAAGGAAGTGTTATTGAAATGAATCGTCAATAGCTTCTACAATCTTTTGAAGGTCACAAATGAAATTTATCACACTTAAAGAATTAGGGTAAATACAGGTGGGTTGGATGTGATAATGTGCTTTGAGAGTTGATGTTTGTTAGTGCTGATGCAGGGACGCTGCCACAGGTATGAACTGATTCATAGCACAGTCAGTAAAATCCATATCTATATATTGAACAGTGATTTTTTTGTGTGTCATGTTCTTTGAAAATTTGTTGGAAATAAAGAACATATCTTGTATCTAACTTCAGTTGGAAACAGCTCCTCTCGCCTTGACCAACTAATGATTATAAAACAAATGGTTTGTATCCAGGTTCCTTTGTTCCAAAATCTGATTTTTGAGTCACAATAGTGATATATTGGCAAAAATTTTGAAACATTTTTTCCACAGCCATACTTAAGTAAATTATCTTTAGCGTTTGTTATAATGTCACATGTTAGCATAATCTTTAGTTTTTAACCTATTTATGATAAAAGAACCACATCCAAAGTCTGTGTGATGACATATATACAGTGCAGAAAAAACGAACCAAAGCTGAAACTTGCCCAGGCTACCAACTTTGGTATACTGTACAGCAGGGGTTTACTCTCATCCCTGAGATATTACTGGGGACTGTTAGTAGATTAGTTTATAGTTAACACAGAGGAATGATTCCGGATGTGCTTAGGTGAGACAATCCAACATTAACACACGTAATGTTGGAAAAGTATGTATAAAGAGGGGTTTAGAATCCTGGCTGTTCTGATGGTTCGCTAACTTCTGTATACTCAGTCACAGAAAACTGGGATTGATTTTCTGATGAAACCTCTCATTGGCCCTGGGGATTATGGTTTAGTTCTATGCTGTGGAGTGGGTTTTTGTGTTTGTAGAAGGTCTGGGTTGTGCAGGAAATTCACTGTTTTACGTTGGTTTATACAATAAGATAAAAATATAACACATTTATTGCAGATGTAAATTTATACTTAACTGATAAGAGAGTAAAAATGATACTTGAATCAGAGTAAATGGCATTTTTCATTGTTAACCTCTTGACTGCCATTCAGTTCGTTAATTTTTTTAGGCAAGATGAAATAATATGAATATATATAGATAATTCCAAAACTCACCAGATCCATTCTAAGTGTTTGCTGCAATCTGAAATGCCAAATAAATAAGTTATTTACTTAGGTTTGAAAGTTAGGTATTGAACATTGAACCACTGTAACACAAAAATTACATAAATAACCAGAAAATGAGAATGATTATTTATCTCAGTCAGGATATTTAAAGCAATTTGATACCATCTGAAAAAAGCATCCATGCAAAAAAAAATTTATCTGTAAGAGTACATTGAAAAAATGACTGTGTAGGACAGTAGTGATGTTGTGACACTTCATATTTTGTATCTAAAAAACCCTAAGATTGCGTCTTGTCACGCATAATGATTTTCCTCTCTGTGTACATACATTATTATAAAACTTATAATGTACAGGTGGTGTATCATAGACATGTTGTTGCATAATGAATAGTTTCTCAAAGATTGCCATTGATATGGATGTCTATCAAGTGAATAATAGGAATGAGTGCAATGATTGATGGATAACCCTAGTTATTGCAAAGGTTTTCTGATAAATTCTGCACAGAATTGCATTTTCATCGTTGAAGAGATAGCATGTTTTAAGTGAGTTGAATTTTATTGAATGGCTATGTCATATTTATAGTGGTGCTTAGACTAACAGGGAATTAATAGATGCCACATTACATATTGAAATTAGACAATAAGAATTGATTGCTCTGCTCATGTAAGGGATCAAATGAAACAAAAAGTAAGGGGAAGTTTCAGACTAGACCATGAATCAATGCCATTCCCATTCAAGCTAAGTCATTGTTCTAAACATTGTTATACATAGGTGAAGGTAAGCCATGGCATCATTTCTTCTGTCCCTTGATCTTTAGCACAAATTGTCGTCACAAAGACAGCAATACTAAGTATTCTCATTATGTCTCTGCAAAGGCCAGTGTGAATTGCTTTTCATAGAAAATTGGGTCCAGGGAATGTTTTAAAATGAATAAGCCTAAGCTGCTAGAGATCAATATACATGTATTGCCTCAGTCTGCAGACAAGTGCTTGCAGGAGGCACGTGGTCACATTCCATGAAATTGGGCCAGCTGCTGTACTTGGATGCAAGTTCATAGATACATTTCATCAGATGGTTGGACGTACATGAAGCGAATTCAAGGAATTGTTAACATTGTGGACATCTGATTTCATTGAAATTGTGTATCTAGTCTACAGTGAAGTCCTTGGCTTATCTGGATGTTATTGGTACGGATAAGAATACAACAGATAGGTTCTTCTGGTATGGAAGCTGATATGTAAGTTTGAATTAGTTAAGGTCACTGCTTGGAGATTCTTAGCTTTCAGAGGAGGTAACACTGATGCAATTTATGAAATGGCTTCTTCATGGGAAAAATCTGGCAAGTTTCAGATAAATTGAATTGATGACACAAAACATTTGTGGTGCAATTATATTTTTGCTCTAGATTAAATGTTTCCTTTTTTTTTAAATTGGGTATGTAGTATTTTTTGTGCCAGAATTGATATTTTGACAGAACTGATTATGGGATATATATATGGCACTCAGTGAGTCATTGTATTGATTTCTGAGAAACTTCCATTGTTGTTCATACAGCACATCCCGTCGGTCATTATCAGTTTCATGCATAAGAAATGAATAGAACTGTACTCAGCTGCCAGAGTATAGATTAAAACTTTTCATATTTGAAAATGAAGTGCAAACTAGGAGAGACAGATAAAAACTTATTTTCAGTCCTGTATTATTTAAATGTGAAGCATAATTTTATTAAATCTTTCAGATAGTGCTCATCTACATGACTATTTGCCCTTTTTATGCTGTTGTTATGGTAACACATTTGTTCTAAATGGTCGGTCTCATTTCAGACGTGTGTAATGTTGGAAACCTCCCAGAAGTAGAGATATTGAGTTTGATTGAGGAGAAAATACCCAAGTATCGGCTGCGAGCGGACACCATTACATCATTTGCTGGCTACGAGAACGAGGATTGGATCCAAACCCCCATTATACCTCATGACATAGAGCTAGATCTCACTGAGGAACAGATAGAGGAGACATTGAAGTATTTCGGTAAGAAGACTGATTTGGCAATTGATGTGTTTCACACTGGCATTAGTTTTTCTTAACAGCTGAAGTTTTAAGAACTCTGGCCAGACTGGGTACATTATCCCTATTTTAGACTCAGTGAAAATGTATACTATTTTGATTTTTTGTATCAGTAAATTCTACAGCTTACTTAATTAATATTTATATATTTTGTTATGAATATATTTTGTTATATAATGATCCTTTATAGTTTGTAAAGGTGAGTCTGGTGTAACTTCTCACTGAGTGCAGTAGATGTTACGGGTGGCACCATCTTTGAGTAAGCTGTCACAAGCGTGCAGGAAGCCATAGCAGTAAACAGGTTTGATTAGAATCTCAGTCTTTTTGAAAGATGAGACAACTATCAAACTCAATTGCTTTTGCTGTAGGTAAATTGGCACACACTCGTTTAGACCCTTTACACATCATGCCTTATACATATAAGTATTGAAACACTTAGACTGGTCCTAATTTTTTGCTACAGGGATTTTACCCCCTTTCACAAGTTCATTCCATGTAACATCTTACAGCTTGGAAGCCCCAATATAAGAATAAAAAATAACCTGGTTAACTGGCTGTGTTGAGCTCTGTTCAGGAAGCTCTGTGCAGGTGACACTCTTGCATAATACCAGGCTATTTAGTTACATTAATCTCCCTTAGTATTTCGATACCGATACTTGAAATGCACAATGTGAAAAGGGCCTTACCCTCCCGTGACATTGCTGGTCATTAGAACACATACACACTATTGATCCAGGTCAGAATGTTGCACCCTGCTGGTTTTTATGGAGTCATGCATACACAAATGCCCTATGAGTCTATATATATCAGCATATATGTTACATATCTCATTTCAAATGACCTGTATCCTAGCAAGAAAAAATAGACACATATTTGTCAGGTGGATGATACCCAATATGTACTAAGTGAAAAATAAGATCTATATACGTAAGGACAAACTTAAACTAGCTTTTGTCTAAATGTCATCATCAGAGGACCAGATCCCCAGGTAGGGGACATGGAGTTTGCATACATGTATGTTGTGTATAGATATATAATATGGCAGGCCGCAGATAGTCTTGTGTGTATGGTGATGTCAGGTGTTCTGTTTGTGTCAAAATTAGTCCTGTCGAAACACATGGAAGAACTGACCTTTTTCCTGATTGTGACATGCATTTATTAAATGGACGGATGACCTCGCTGTCCCTTAAGGCATGCAGTGTTCATGACTTGACCAATAGAAATCCCACTTTAGATGCTATCTACATGTATATTTACCATGGAACGTGGTTATAAGTGCTGTAGTCTGTTAGATGATGTGTCTGTTGGAGTATTGTATTATGAGACACATCGTGTGAACCACTTCTGTGATAATGTGAAAACTGTGACAACACATGCGAGGAATTAGGGATATATTGTAAGTAAACAATCAATGATGTTAGTCATTCCTGTACTACATGCACTTCTTGGTGATATGTTTTGAATGCCATATGACTAAGAAGTTGGCTTAATCTGAAGTTTCTTGTCTTTTCTTTTCTTTTCTTTTTTTTTTTTTGCTAAAACTGGGTGCCTTTATGTGTATGGCACTGGGCAGGAGTCTTTATTATTATTATTATTATTATATTTTGTATTTCATGATTTGGTACATTGGTTATGTAAGCAGCTAAACTTTAAAATATCCACATAGCATGCAATTATTACCTTCTTACCTGAGAAGAATGTTAACTGTCTTACAGGTGTCTTGCCCCAATGGAAAGGAGGTTCCTCTCAGACCAGGTTCCATAAAAATTATCCACTTGAATTTTACATCTCATTCTCCGTTTTCCTTGATGTAGCTTTGTTTCAAGAAGTAACTAAATTTGGGGATTTAAGCTAGAGCAGATTTAGCTCCTTTTCATGTAGTGCTCATTTGCCTCCTGCTAGCGTTTCTTTCTTTGCATGGATTGTCAGCAATCAATTGACAAAACATTTGCTTATGCAAGGCCAGCTTGACCACAATGCCTTCAACAAGGCACTAGGGCTGGGCACTGCCTGTGACGTAGCTGGGCAGTTCAAATAAGGGAATAGTGGTATTTATGTTTGGGGAGATATTGTACATTTTACGCACAAAATATGACTGCTCAGTATGGAGAAGAAAATAAAAAAAGGTGAGCAATGTGAGTTATTGGAAGTGTTAAAGGGCAGTCTTGAAGCCAGCGATTTAAAAGGGGAGATTCTTTTTCTGAAAAGGTGGGCCCTTTTTTGTCCATAATTGCATAGCATCTAGATCAGATTTTGATTTAGAGGAGATATCTGGACCAAAAGGGCGATTCTTTCAGTAAATCTCACCCCTCCCCCCTTTCCAGACAGATGTATAAAGAGCACTTTTTGTTGCTGTCTTTGAAGGATTTAGAGACCATTCCCAGATCCTATCGTACTAACTTTGGACAGAGCTATCTCCAAGGGGATTCTCACTTAATTGCAATTAACTTATGTGTCTTAGACATCTGTCATGTCTACTGAAGCTCATCATCATTCCTCTTCATCCCGTGTGGGACATAAGGCCACAGCCACACTGAAGCTGATAGGGGGTAATTAACTATGGTTTAGCAGCTTTAGTAGGCATTCCAGACATCTCAGCCACTTAAGCTGAAAGCAATTTAGTGAAAAACCCTGTGGACATGGACCGATCCTGTTAGATCAATCTAAGGATGGGAACCAAGTCCTAGATACAACAGGATGCTCTTGCCATTCACATTGGGAAGTGGAGCCGATGAGCACATCTAACACAATGGAGGCATCTGGCAAAAGTTGGTTTGGAAAACAACATTGATTTATTCTTATAATAATGACTGAGAATGTCATTAGGCCTCTCATTGAAGTTTCCATGCATTGTACTCAAGAAGAGAATGGAATAATTTTTCTGCATGCTTATGGAAGTGAACTTTGTGACAATTAGCAGTAGAAATGACTGGTGGTTATATATTTTAAATATAAGTGCAATTAAAGAAAAGCTTTTATATGCTTAGAGTTGGATTTTATGGCATTATTTGTATGAAGGGTCCCTTTTCAGTGCAGGATTACATTTACATGAATGTATTCTTTGATTATGTTGTTTCTTTTGGCATAATGCCCAACTCAGAAAAATACAATTGATCTGCAAACCTGGAAGGTATTATTTGATTGTTGAGAAGAGTTATAGATTCGTAACTTAAGAAAATTGCATAATTTATCCATGCTGTTATTCTTAAAATCTTGCAAATACTTGGGCTTTTGAACTTGTGAAAGCAATTTTGTTTATTCATGATAACTGCTGAAAAATTACCACCAAAGCTATCTAGATATGGGGAGTTTTCTGCTGCACTGTCGAGGCATGCACAATACCTGTTATTGATTGGTACATTTCATTCAACAAACAATAGAGACGACCAAAACGCTTGCAAAACAAGGTAAAGCTGGAGGCCTCATAGAGGTTTACCTCTACTAGCCAGTTCTGCAGCTAGCATTTATACCTGAAATCTCCAGTAGATGATGCTGCGTTAGTTATTTTTAACACCCATTTATCTGTAGCTGGGGAAGCTATATCTGATAATTTCAGCATACTTGCGCAGAAGAGCATCGGATGAGGTGTAGAAAAAATAAGTGCAACAGCAGTAGTAAAACTTGATAAATAAGATAACCCCATGGAAGATGATGTAGAGCTATGGCAAATGGAAATTACTATGAATTAGACGAGTACCTGTATGAGAGGTATGGATTGTATGACCCATACTGCAGTATAGGGAATCTGAATGACCATAGGGAAGCCAACCTTCTGTGTAGTTTATATAGTGAAGGTAGGTGAACATTTACATAATATGCTGCCTGAAATATCTCTGAATAACTGAGTAGCATGGCATGAGAATGGTAGATTAAGTTTATCATGTTATTTTGTTATAAATATAAATTGAACTGCATACCATTTTTAAAAGCCTAGGGATTAAAATATGCCTTGTGTATTTTGCAGTAAAAAATTCAATTTTTTGTCAACTCATTATTTTGGAATATTACATGTTATAATTAGATCTGTAGCATTTTAACACTACATTTTTAGGTAGATGATTTTTCTAGATGCTCCTAAAACATTGTACAGGGTCAACTAGAAGCTTTTTGTCGTTGCAAACTATATACTCTTGTTAATTTAAGAAATTTAGTTCACAGTATTGAACATAGTTAACACTGAAAATGAATTGTTATGGCTTAGAAATCTGGTTTTGTCACATATAACTGATATTAACATGTTTGATAGATTTGTTAGTGCCCTTCATATATGTGTCTATAGTTCCATTAGCTGAAACAGTAATTTTGACCTTATATTCTTATATTCTCGTGCTGCCTGTGATGGCTTGCAGCAGGAACTCCATTAAATATTGATTCCCAATGGCCACATCTCTTGTATCATGGTTATGAAAGCCTACCTATTAGCTTTGATTAGTACAGTGTGAAATGAGATCAATTAGGTATGTTTCTACAATAAACAATACCTGTCTGTTGAATTGTGTAATCTCTGTCTCAATCATATTGACCGCTGCATGGAATCTTTATGTAGTTGATTTTGAAAAATGAAATATTGGTTACTAGTAGGTACATGCCATTTGTTGCTAAGATTTTATCCTTTTCATTCTTTTGTTTGTGTCGGTGTAATAGTTTAAGTATCTAAAGCTTGAATGATTATTAGATATATGTGAGTCTTCTGGTTAGTTTGAAAGTAAAAACCTATGGATCACTCTCCAGATATTTGGGAGGGTGAATACTAGTAGCTTCCATTTAAAATAGTTATCCCCCATCACGTTTCCTGGCATGATCTGCTTCAAGTAGTGCTAATAATAAGTAAAAACAGTCACGTTTCACTGCTGCAGCCATTAATTTAAAAGTTATGCTGTGGTTTGCAAAAAAATAATAAATAAATAAATAAATAAATAAAAGAGTTAAAATTTAGTTTAAAAAAAATTCTCCTCTTAACTCTATGAAAAATAATGAAATTCTCTTACCTGGTCCTCATATCTGTCTACAGTAGGTCTCCACAGTTTCTTCATTGAGACTGCATGTCCTATTACAACATCTATGAAGACTGGGGAAGTTTAGTTTCCAGACTGTTTTTTTTTTGCACCTGTTACATATACTCAAGACTTCTTGCTTTTAGATATGTTATGTGCCATTTGCTTAGTGCATTAAAGCAAATCCTGTCGTCCCAATACTTCTTGATGGCAATTCTATGTATGTCCTTGAATCTTACATCATTTAAAAGAAATAATGGATGTTGTTAACATTCTACACTGGAATAAGATGTGCCTGCCCTCATGTATGTTTAAAAAACCAGTCCATCTTTGGATGCTGACAGGTTAGTGCTATAAATTAAAATCAAATTCGGCTCAGAGGTGGAAGTTCCCATTGATTGGCTGAAGAAGCTTACCTATAAGCGTGGTGCATACTGATATCTTGTTTTTGACAATTTAGGGCCATATCAACATAGTTAAGGTCATTGGTGTTTATAAAAAGACATTTTAAAGCAGTTTATTGCACAGCAGGTAGTTTCCCACCTTGGAGTATCAACGTGTTTTCAAAATGGAATGGGGACATTAGCATGATTATAGATAAGGCTGGGTATGAAAGGTGTTGCAGCGATGTTATTGAGGCAGTTGACATGTTTTTTTAAATTGGAAGAAGTCAGAAGGAGCAGCTCAATCAATGTTGTTGTGTAACCGGTTACTCCACATGGGTAACTGAATAAGCTCTGTGGGGGATTACTGCGGTTCCACAGAATGTTTATTGGTAAAAGGGGACACCTATTTAGTTTTCACAAAGACAATTTAAGGGATATGTGAATTTCAGGACAATCCCTGTGGGTATGGTTGAATGCATGTTGTTTTTCCAAAATACGTGCAGTTTTGCACGTGCTGCAAAAAGAGCTCACATTTGAGCACAAATGCGTAAAGCAAGGCTATAGAATTTAAAGTGTGCACAATATGCATGACTGCAGTAACAGGGGATAGATTAATTTGTAGCTGTGACACCATCCTAAAATGAAAAATTAAATTGAGTGTGTGGAAACTACTTTTTCTTGACTACTTTTTTTGCCATGGACATTTGTGTTTGGGAAATAAGATTTGAATAATGGAGGTGAACAACAACACGCCACCTACTCTAGACATCATTTGCAGTGATGATATGGACAAACAAAAGTACCTTTCCAGTTTGTCAGAAAATGTCTGTCTTTTCATGGAAAATAACAATGTCATAGCAGAGAGTGAGAACAGTGTCAGCGGTAAGTCATTAAAGTTGAATTGAAATACTATTATATATATATATATATATATATATATATATATATATATATATATATATATATATATATATATATATATATATATATATATATATATATATATAAGAGAATTCAGAAAAATATTTAAGCAGTCAGTGTAGTATGTACAACAGTGATACATACAGTACCTGTGCGAATTTGACAAGTTAATTTCCAAAAATATTTCAATTATTATTTGGAGTAGGAAGTTAAGATATTTACATGATCAGTCTAAGCTGTTAGTATGAGCAGGATAAATTTTCAATAAATAATTGGTTGCACAAAACTGTATCATAAGAGGTACAGAGGCGCGTGTGTAATTTGAGGTTTAATATCTACAGACATGAAACCTATAATATATCCTCTATAGATGCACCATAGATGTGCTAGCATGTGTAAAGCTGTGGTTGTTCAGCTGAATACTCATCTATCAGATTAATAGACATAAAGGTATGTAGGCCAGAACATTCCATACACTAGCACATGGGATGTAAGAGCACATGGTGTTGACTGGTTTATCAGGATTGGTGGGTAAAATGTACAGTTTCATATATAAAGGATGACATAGTGATAACAATGCTGTTGGAGGTGTTCATGGTTTGTGACTGATATTTATTTGTTTGACCTTATTATCAGAGGTAATTGAAAATTAACGGTTATTAACTAAACCTGTATACAGATACTACTGTGTGGTATGTATGTACATGTATATACCACTATGTGCTATTTGTTTGTCTTAATAACTAGCAGTGTAAATAGGTTTTTGCACATGGTTATAAGTTTGAGTTAATGGTAGTAACTGTATTTAGGTATTGGTAGTATATGTTATGATATCTGTATCAATGAAGTAGGATATCTACAGTATGTTTGTAGACATACTGTAGATGTTCTGCAGGGCTGGTTAATATTTAATATGTCCAAGATATCTTTTCTTTTATTTGTGGACTTGGTTAAAAAAAAAAAAACATTGTCCCATATTATCACCCTTATTCTTGGCAGTGTGTATTGAAGCATAGGTACGTAGTTTGTGCATCTTAACACGTCCATGTAGTTTTGCCCATGAAAAACTGCATGTAGAAGGTAACAGACATCCTGGGGTCACATTTCAGGTGACATGTCTCAGGTCTCCCTTTCCCCCATTTTTCAGGTAGGCTGTGCTTTCTTGATGATGATAGTTTATTGAGCACTAAGTGAGGTTTAGTCACATGTACATTGTTCTCTTTATGCTCTGCAGTCCTATAATAATTGAAAACATAACTTGAAAAGATGTAGATTAAGTGTTTTAATCAATCTGTTTTTTTCCAGTCAGGAATCACGTGTTTGACAGGAAAAAATAAGATATATGTGTTTGTTACCATGTACATAGCACATTAAAAAAAAACATGGTGGAAAGTGGAAGTTTGCTGAGACAGTGAGTCATATCAAGAAATAAATCAAAGCTATTATATGTTTAATATTTCTAATTGTTATGTCTGAAGTAGTAATATATTGACCAAAAAACATTCAGATATTTCAAGTGTAAAACATGTTAAATGAATGTTTATTTTCTTTTCACCAAGAAGAATAAGTTAAATATATAAATCTATCAATCAGTAAATAAATTAAGGTTCAGCTGAATAGTTATAAATAGCAAAATAGGATCAGGAACTAACTGAGGATGTGTCTCCTGAAATGAAAACAGTTCAGGACAGTTCCATGTATACAGGTATTAGGAAGATAAGAAAAAGTTGCTGACAATAACAACAACTGGCTTACCTACTATAAGTGGTCCGTGTTGATATCTAGATCAATGACCTAGCTGTAATCTACGAATGGGACATTGATTAAATAGACTATTGATTTAAGTGGAAAAACAGAAAAATTGATATTTAAAAAAATTTCACAAGGTTACTATGTTGCATTAGCCCTAGTAAATCTGAAAAGTGCAGTGTGAAAGTACTTAAGCTTAAAAAATTACTTAGTTGCACCAGAAGAATTGTTTAGGTCATTTTTGGAAATTGTAAATGGTTTGATACCAGTCATTTCCCCAAAGAATTATTTCATAGTACTGCAGGTTCTTTGATGATAATATAAATGCCTTTTGACAAAAACACAGATACTTATTTTGACAAACGTAAGAACAGTTTTTGATAAAAAAAATCAATGCACAGTAGTAAGTGTTAGTTGGAAGGAAAAAGCCCAGGCTCTGTTGATACTGGGCAAAGTTTGTATCCATGGAGATGTCTGGAGCAAGATGCAATATAAATCAGCATATTTTTTTAAAATGTGAATGTTATTTTCTTACAGTTAGCACTGTGATATAGTACATAATTGGTGTGTGATACTGCTGTTGTTTTATGAAGATTGCACCTTTATATATGCAGAATAGAAGATAGTAATAATTTTCATAGCTTTTTATTGGGATAATTGAAATAACACCAGAGGTGTTGCACATTGAATTTCAGGCAACAGATTCCTACAATTTAATTGAAGGAGTATTTAGACGGAAACGAGATGAAGTTGTTTAAAGATGTCATTTACCAAACCTGTGTTATGTTTTGCAGATATTTATCTTAATACTTGAATAACACTTGAATTTGGCATCTTGTCTTTCCAGTCCTATGTTCGGAGCGTTTGACCCAGATGACAAGAACATACAATGATATTGAGGCTGTGACAAGACTACTTGAAGAGGTATACTTCTTACTGTGAACTTCGTTTTCCAAAAGTGACGTGATATCAAGTTGAAGAGATTCTAAGCATACAATGCATGGTGAATGTTTACCACCATCTGACAGTAAAAAGTTTTTTTCTTCCAAAACCTATGCATTTAATATACTTACAAAAGTTTATTGGATACCTGCAACCAAATTAGTAATAAGATATCTTACAGTGTTCTGAATGAACTGAATACAAATCTTCATTTTTCCGCTTTTTCCCCCCTCACTTACAAAGAAGATGTGATATATGACACAAACTGAAGTTTAGATTTTTTTTTGTAAATGCTATCTCTGTATCATATTAAGTCTGACTAAGTGAGACTGCTTTGATTTCATGAGTACAACCACCCTTAATTTTGGCAAATATTCAATGCCAAGAAGAAATAAAGCTTTTTTCCCCAATAAAATAACTAAAAATCTTTGTAATTTTTCTTTGACATTTAGAATATCCTCTTATTTGTCATGCTACACCTTTTTTTCTTTTCTTGACATTTGCTTGACAAATAATTTTAGAGAATCCCCATTAGTGTGATTGAAGGAACTGCTGTTTTAATTAGATTTGTGAAATAACAAATGGAGAAAATAGAGAACCTATTAAATTTATTTTCTTGTTTTTATAGATAATATGTAAATCTGTTTATTTATAGACAGTTTTACATATATTGCTTTTGTTATCATAATAGTCTGCATTTACTTCTAGTTATGAACATTTATGATTTAAATTGTATCTTTAAAAATGATAGTGGGATTGTTTACAGTTTGTCAATAAAGTAAATTTGAATAATTTCACTTAAACCCCCAAATGCATTAATTTGAAAAAATTAATTTTAAAGAATTTATCTTAAAGTTTCAATCATTTGTTTTATATTACAGAAAGAGAGAGATTTGGAGTTAGCAGCTCGTTTAGGTCAGATCCTATTAGATGAAAAGAAAGAACTTGCAGCAAAAAATGAGCACTTAGAAGAACAATTGGCTGCTACTATTGAAAAAGTAAGTATACTGTAGATTTGTTGTTTATTTTGGACTTGATACTTGCATGTAAACAGATTGATAACTGTTGCTTTAGTTCTCGTTTTCTATGTTTTAGTTTTCATTTACCATGATTTGCATCCTAAAATGTATTTTATTATTATTTTTTTCAAATTGAATTTAATTTTGAAAGTTACAATTGAGAATTTATGAAAAAGATTATTGTAAGTCTGCTGAATTAAAGGTCCTGTATTGCAGATGTGTTTTTTATGTTAGCTTTTCATATTAGAAAAAAACCTTAAATTCATTATCTTAAGCTAGTCAAATGTTTAAGTAGTTAATAAAACAAGCTAAATGTACCTTAGCAAACAGATCTGTCTCGTTTCATGTCACGTGTATCACCAACGTGCTGTGCGTAGGCAATTCTAATCACGCGTAAGTCCTTGAACCCATTGATTTGTTGGGCGGTTTCTCCAGGCAAGAAAAACACTCAAAAGTAGATGATAAAAAGATGCAAACTCTTGGAAGATTATGGGACTAGTGTTCCCATAGAAAACACTAAAAAAAAACAAAAAACAAAAACAAATTCAGACAGAAATTTATGTCATATCATTTGACCAACTTGTACATTGAAATAAAATAACGCAGCATGAGATGGCTCCATGTTGACAGTGGGAGATTGCCAAGGGGGGGGGGGGGTCATTGACGATGTTGTCATGTACACATACAAATTTACCAAACAACTATGAGGGTATGGTTCTTTTCTTCCTCTTGCCCCACCCCTCTTCCATGTCCTCCCTTTATTTAAGTACTGATTATGCCAATGACATATCGCCCAGGTCTAAATTATTGAGATGACACCAAATATGTGGTGTACCTGACAGCAGTCACGTAGTCCTACGGCTATTAACATATTGATAAGATATAAGATTTCAACTGCCAAACTGACCCAGAAAAAAGAATTTGTCTAGTACTGAGGGCACTGAGTATTTAGGGCTTGTGCATTTGTGAAACCTGTTTCTAGATAATTGGACATGTGTCATAAGAATATGTCTTGAAAGAGAATAGTAGAATTTAAGACAATATATATATATATGAATAAATTTTAAATAATAACTTTAGTAGTGAAACAAAAGTTTTGATGAGAAACTTTTTGGCAACTAAGTGTTTTTAGGAAAACATGTTTTTGTTTTTTCAAGCTTCTAATGCATGTGTCCCTAAAAGATAGGATGAGAGCAGACATTGATAAAAAAATCAAGGCAAAAAGGATGAGGAAAAATGCTAAATCATGCAATTTCAGGCTATTTGATAACTCCATATGGTTCTTTTTACAATCTTGACTAAGAAATTTGGCAAATATTGGCCAATTATAAAAAAGATAGATGACAGGTTGACCTCATAAGTTTCTTTAGAGAAAGGATTACACCACAAAAATGATAATAATAATAATGTACTGATACAGTCTTGTTGATATATCAGGACACTCCAATGTCAGATTGTACTTTTTTTAGTCACAATAGCATTAAGTTAAGGTGGAATTTCCTTTTAATTTTACTTTGAAATAGGATGATAATAATTATTTCACCCTCCCCTTCCTCTTATTATTACTCTTACTTTTTTTGTTTCAGAACAAACAATTGAGTCATGACATTTCTATGAAAGATGACCTCCTGAGGATTTACACTCAAGATGGTGACACAGATTCCAATGGGTGTTCCCCTACGTAAGTTTGCTTAAATAGTGTTTGTCATCATCTTAATTTGCAAAAGATTGTTGTCTTTTGTGGTGTTTGTAAATGAAAAGTGTCCCACTTAGCATCAGCAGTATAAAAAACTACATTGAAGGATTTCTTTTGCAGGATAATGCTACACAGTGAATCCAGCAGTTAAAACAGGGCTTCTATTTATTTGCAAATTTTATACATGGCACCCCAGCTTTTGCATTCAGAGTAGACTTAAATGTATGCAGTTTATATTTTATTAGAATTTGCCTGACATACTTGTCAAGATTCATTCCACTGGTGTATGTTTACTGAAACTATCTTTCGAAGACATAAATATTAGCACTGATAAGGTGTTGTGAACCTAGTAAAAGATATTCTAGACAAAGATGTATTTTTCTGGTCATCATCACATCCTATTGCTATCATTACATCAAACAAATCTTTGTTTGTTGAGTACTTAGTCAAGATGTCGGCATTTTTTTCTTACATCATGATCTGACTGCCCCTAGATATAGGCTCAATGTTAGGTATTGTCTTAGGCAAGAGGTGTTTGAATTTAAAACCTGTTAAAAGGTTGAGATAAGAAAAGGTTTAATGTCCTTAAACTACATTTCAGGTTTAGAGAATTACAGAAACCTACTTTTTGGACATTTGCAGGAATTTCGTGATAGAATTTTCACCTTAGTTTGAAAATCATCATCGTCATCTTGTAAAATTATGAAAACGTAGATAATCATTGACCAATTACAGCCTTCAGTTAACATATTATTTTTCATAAAAATTGCTGACTCACTATGTAATGTTCCCCTCCTCTCTTTCTCCCCTCCAGCAAAGACAGGCAGGGGTTAAGTGCACACCTGCACAACTTTGACACCTTACAGAAGAAGCTGAGGTCAGTGGAGGAGGAGAACTTTCGACTCAGAACAGAGGTAATTTTTTTGTTTGTTTGTTTGTTTGTTTGTTTGTTTCTTAAACAGAGATGAATCACTCAGAATATTCAATTTATTAGTTTCTCTATATGTACAACAATTTATACAGGCTTTTCGTATGCATGTAGTTGTCAGAATACTTTAAAAGCTCAAACTACTTTCTTTTCTTTAAATATTAAGTGTTTTGTTCCACTTTTTAGGCTGTACATTTAGAGACAGAAACCATCAATTATGAAGAAAAAGAACAGCAACTGGTCAAAGACCTGCTCAGGGAAATGGGTACGTTTTCATATTAAAACAATTTATAAAAAAAACTGAACATTTGATATTTTATCTGATATTGCAGTGGAATATAGCAGATATTTTATCTGATATTGCAGTGGAATATAGCAGTTTCAGTTAGACATAATTCCTATTACAGGGACATTCTTGTTTGCCAGAATATATTAACAGTGTTTCAACCAATGCAAAACTTCATTATACATCAAAAAAAGATTAGATTAAGAAAATGAAGACAAGAAATTAATTCTACAGACAGATCATTAAGATATGCTGATGAATCAGCGTATAAAACTGTTAATCAACAGGCAAAGTTACAAGGTATATATAGTATACAAAAAACCACAAACTACATCAACTATATATTTGTTTTGGTGTCCAGGCACCAAGGAGAAGGAGTTTGGTGCCTTGGAGGAACTCCTTGCCAGGAAGACGGAGGAGGCCATGCGGCAACAAGAGGAGATCACCAACCTGCTGGCTCAGGTGGTGGACATGCAGAAGAAAAATAAAGAGGTATCAACTTGAATGTTCCTAGGAAGATCATTTTGTATGTGTGTTAATTGTTCATAAGAAAGTTGATGTTATTGTACAAAATTTTACTGCAGAGAAAGGTGTTGGCTTAATAAACTCGTGCTGAATAGCTTCCTCATCATGCTGTAGGTATGTTTGCTCTGAATTGTTTTTAAAGATGGCATTTTGAAGTGACATTTTGACAAATCTTGTTTCAATCTCATGATCAAGAAAAGAAGAAACACATAGGTTAGTTTTATGTTCGAGATGTATAGAAAATCTGCAGTTATTTGGAACAATGTATATTTCAGCTTGTGATAGAGAATGCAGAGCTGCAGAAGCACCTGCTGGCTGCACAGGATGCACAGAAGGACCTCANCGAAGACATAAATATTAGCACTGATAAGGTGTTGTGAACCTAGTAAAAGATATTCTAGACAAAGATGTATTTTTCTGGTCATCATCACATCCTATTGCTATCATTACATCAAACAAATCTTTGTTTGTTGAGTACTTAGTCAAGATGTCGGCATTTTTTTCTTACATCATGATCTGACTGCCCCTAGATATAGGCTCAATGTTAGGTATTGTCTTAGGCAAGAGGTGTTTGAGTTTAAAACCTGTTAAAAGGTTGAGATAAGAAAAGGTTTAATGTCCTTAAACTACATTTCAGGTTTAGAGAATTACAGAAACCTACTTTTTGGACATTTGCAAGAATTTCGTGATAGAATTTTCACCTTAGTTTGAAAATCATCATCGTCATCTTGTAAAATTATGAAAACGTAGATAATCATTGACCAATTACAGCCTTCAGTTAACATATTATTTTTCATAAAAATTGCTGACTCACTATGTAATGTTCCCCTCCTCTCTTTCTCCCCTCCAGCAAAGACAGGCAGGGGTTAAGTGCACACCTGCACAACTTTGACACCTTACAGAAGAAGCTGAGGTCAGTGGAGGAGGAGAACTTTCGACTCAGAACAGAGGTAATTTTTTTGTTTGTTTGTTTGTTTGTTTGTTTGTTTCTTAAACAGAGATGAATCACTCAGAATATTCAATTTATTAGTTTCTCTATATGTACAACAATTTATACAGGCTTTTCGTATGCATGTAGTTGTCAGAATACTTTAAAAGCTCAAACTACTTTCTTTTCTTTAAATATTAAGTGTTTTGTTCCACTTTTTAGGCTGTACATTTAGAGACAGAAACCATCAATTATGAAGAAAAAGAACAGCAACTGGTCAAAGACCTGCTCAGGGAAATGGGTACGTTTTCATATTAAAACAATTTATAAAAAAAACTGAACATTTGATATTTTATCTGATATTGCAGTGGAATATAGCAGATATTTTATCTGATATTGCAGTGGAATATAGCAGTTTCAGTTAGACATAATTCCTATTACAGGGACATTCTTGTTTGCCAGAATATATTAACAGTGTTTCAACCAATGCAAAACTTCATTATACATCAAAAAAAGATTAGATTAAGAAAATGAAGACAAGAAATTAATTCTACAGACAGATCATTAAGATATGCTGATGAATCAGCGTATAAAACTGTTAATCAACAGGCAAAGTTACAAGGTATATATAGTATACAAAAAACCACAAACTACATCAACTATATATTTGTTTTGGTGTCCAGGCACCAAGGAGAAGGAGTTTGGTGCCTTGGAGGAACTCCTTGCCAGGAAGACGGAGGAGGCCATGCGGCAACAAGAGGAGATCACCAACCTGCTGGCTCAGGTGGTGGACATGCAGAAGAAAAATAAAGAGGTATCAACTTGAATGTTCCTAGGAAGATCATTTTGTATGTGTGTTAATTGTTCATAAGAAAGTTGATGTTATTGTACAAAATTTTACTGCAGAGAAAGGTGTTGGCTTAATAAACTCGTGCTGAATAGCTTCCTCATCATGCTGTAGGTATGTTTGCTCTGAATTGTTTTTAAAGATGGCATTTTGAAGTGACATTTTGACAAATCTTGTTTCAATCTCATGATCAAGAAAAGAAGAAACACATAGGTTAGTTTTATGTTCGAGATGTATAGAAAATCTGCAGTTATTTGGAACAATGTATATTTCAGCTTGTGATAGAGAATGCAGAGCTGCAGAAGCACCTGCTGGCTGCACAGGATGCACAGAAGGACCTCACAGAAGAGGTGAGCTTTTTCTAATGAAGATTTATTTTTAATGAAAATTTATAGTTTTATGGCATGGTGTGTTTATTTATTCATTGGCCTAGTTTGAATAAATCCTATAAATAAATCCTTTAAAATATTTTATTAATATGTTTTTTAACAGTAAGATTACATCACGTTATAAACATGGTTTATAAATTGATAACATACTGACATTGGATCCCTTTTTGACCTTTGTGATCAACTGTATCCTGTGTAAAGTAGGATATAACAGAGATGTTTGGACAAGATGTTGGAAACAAATTACACACTTTACCCATTTATTGCTCTCCAGTCTCCAGTAGTTGAAAAAAATCAGTCAAGTGTCGCTTGTGACATCATGATTTATTTTTAATGCTTGTTTTGATCAAATAGAAAAAAAGCAGACTCTTAGGTAATCTTTTAACCAGATATGTAAACTATTCATTTCTTTGACTCATAAAAATGCACAATTTCAATCACGTCATCATAACTTCAGATTTAGGAGTTAATAGCAAGGAAAGTTTCATATATAGCCTGTTCATACTGGAAATTATTTACAGATTCAAGAGCTTGATGATAAATATCAAGAAACACTAGACATGCTTCATGCTGCCCAGGAAGATATTCGGCTGCTGCGTAGTAAGTCTCGTCCACGGGCCATGCGGCAGCACTACAGTGCATTCTCACCATACTTCCCTCGAGATTCCTTAGCGTCAGAGCTGGAGAGCAGCCTGAAGAATGAGTACCAGTATCCAGATGGGAACTCCCCATCAGATAGAAAGTGAGTGGCTGGTCACAGTATATTTGTAGTTATAACAAGACTATTCTATGCCAATACCTCAACCAGTATGTCAGTTTGTAACAGCACTGTTAGAGCTCCCCTATAACCATTTTAACAGAACCTTTCCCTCTATTATTCTTTTTTAAAAGATGGCTTTTTATGTCAATGCCCTGTAATAATTGCAGTGATCACAACTGGCGTGTAATGCAGACATACAGGTATGCTAGGAGGGCTACCAGTCGTGGCCTGAGCAGTAGAAGTATGAGTCAAACCCCAGGATCTGGCAGCGAGTCCTGTGACTCCCCTGTCCCGACTTCCAGTCGAAGCTCCATGTATCTCTCTGAGGGAGAGTCCATACCCAATGATGGCTATGCAGCTGATTCAGACAGTACTTACGGGTAAGTGGGGCATGTTCTTAAATGGATATTGTAACAAATGTCTTCCTTTTGATAATTTTTCCACAGTTTTCTTTGCATCAGCAGAAAAATGTGGGTGTCATGTTTTTTGAAAATATTTTCTTTTGAAAGATATGGTTTTTGAGCATACAAATTTTAGACTGTGTGCAGTTAGTCTTGGGAACAATTCAACAGTATTTTTTCACACTATCTACATTAAGTTTATGAAATTTAGTAAATAGGAAAATATTTTCATATTGCTGCAGGCAAAAGTTAAATATCTTGCACATGTCAATATATATCTATCCTTTTTATGTATTTAAAGGTAAGAATTAGCTATTAAACTTTGTCTTAATTTTTTGCACGTGTTTTTTAGCTATCAATGGATGCTTTTCTATGAGTCACTTGTCATGATTTGGCAGTAAATTATTGAATCCTTAAATTGTATTTTGTTCTGTTAATCTTCATTCTGAAATTAATTAATTAACATAAAGCTTATACTATGCATTTTTGTGTCACTTAAACCAAAAGCACTTATAATAGTGTGTAAAACATTCAAGTTAATAGGAATTTTTTGTTCTGTTCTACATGTCTGCTTTTACTTAGCCTCACATATAATACCTACTGTGCTATCTAAAGCCATGCGGTCTGCTGCCATAAAGATATTTGCCCTATACACATACACAACATATACCTATATACATATGCACAAGCTTCTTCACTAAACCACATGTTCAGTGCAGTGTGTTTTTCCATGTGTTAACCCCTTCCCTTGCAGTACATCAAGCAGTAGGACACAGTTAGGAAGGCCTGGGATTCCAGGTTCCAATGATCTGGAGACAGCTTTGAGAAGGCTGACACTACGCAGTCAGACGGAACAAGCTTATCTGGAGGGAGAGAAGGAGAGGAGGGAAAGGAGGTACATGCTGGATTCTCTCTATTGGTGTTCACATTATGTTTATTTGAAAATATTGAACTTGCGCTTGTTTTTTTTAATCACTTTTGATGTTGGTCTTGCTTCTGCTTCCTCTCTGTTTGCAGACATTTATTGGTACTCTTCATCCTGCTATCTGATATCATATTCGAAGCATTGTGTATATTACATGTCAGGTGTATGGAAATATTAATTGGTTGGCATTGCCTGCTTTACATTGATTGCTGCAGGGAAGTAGGATTATGTGCTGCTATTAAATATATTAAACACTATTTTTAGTGCAAGTCAGATTTTTCCTAAGTCTTACATACAGACATTCTTTTTATGTACAGACACAGATGTGTCTGTACATATTGCCATCACCTGCGTCTGTCGTCGCNAGAAGACATAAATATTAGCACTGATAAGGTGTTGTGAACCTAGTAAAAGATATTCTAGACAAAGATGTATTTTTCTGGTCATCATCACATCCTATTGCTATCATTACATCAAACAAATCTTTGTTTGTTGAGTACTTAGTCAAGATGTCGGCATTTTTTTCTTACATCATGATCTGACTGCCCCTAGATATAGGCTCAATGTTAGGTATTGTCTTAGGCAAGAGGTGTTTGAATTTAAAACCTGTTAAAAGGTTGAGATAAGAAAAGGTTTAATGTCCTTAAACTACATTTCAGGTTTAGAGAATTACAGAAACCTACTTTTTGGACATTTGCAGGAATTTCGTGATAGAATTTTCACCTTAGTTTGAAAATCATCATCGTCATCTTGTAAAATTATGAAAATGTAGATAATCATTGACCATATACAGCCTTCAGTTAACATATTATTTTTCATAAAAATTGCTGACTCACTATGTAATGTTCCCCTCCTCTCTTTCTCCCCTCCAGCAAAGACAGGCAGGGGTTAAGTGCACACCTGCACAACTTTGACACCTTACAGAAGAAACTGAGGTCAGTAGAGGAGGAGAACTTTCGACTCAGAACAGAGGTAATTATTATTTATTTTTTGTTTGGTTGTTTCTTAAACAGAGATGAATCACTCAGAATATTCAATTGATTAATTTGTCTTGATGCACAACAATTTATATAGGCTTTTCATATGCATGTAGTTGTCAGAATACTTTACAAGCTCACTACTTTCTTTAAGTATTAATATAAACATTTTGTTCCACTTTTTAGGCTGTACATTTAGAGACAGAAACCATCAATTATGAAGAAAAAGAACAGCAACTGGTCAAAGACCTGCTCAGGGAAATGGGTGCGTTTTCATATTAAAACAATTTATAAAAAGAACTGAACATTTGATATTTTAACTGATATTGCAGTGGAATATAGCAGTTTCAATTAGACATAATTGCTATTACAGGAGACAGAATATATTAACAGTGTTGCAACCAATGCAAAACTTTATTACATGTCAAAAAAAGATTAGATTAAGAAAATGAAGACAAGAAATTAATTTTACAGACAGATCATTAAAATATGCTGATGAATCAGCAGATAAAACCGTTAATCAACAGGCAAAGTTATAAGGTATATATAGTATACAAAAACCACAAACTACATCAACTTCTTGAAGATATATTTATGTTTTGATGTCCAGGCACCAAGGAGAAGGAGTTTGGTGCCTTGGAGGAACTCCTTGCCAGGAAGACGGAGGAGGCCATGCGGCAACAAGAAGAGATCACCAACCTGCTGGCTCAGGTGGTGGACATGCAGAAGAAAAATAAAGAGGTATTCACCTGAACATTCCTAGGAAGATCATTATGTATATGTGTTAATTGTTCATAAGAAAGTTGATGTTATTGTACAAAGTTTTATTGCAGAGAAAGGCATTGACTTAATAAATTAGATGATATGTTGAAGTAACATTTTGACAAATCTTGTTTCATTCTTATGATCAACAAAAGAAGAAACACATAGGTTAGTTTTATTTTTGTGTAGAAAATATGCAATTATTTGGAAAAATGTTGATATATTTCAGCTTGTGATAGAGAATGCAGAGCTGCAGAAACACCTTTTGGCTGCACAGGATGCACAAAAGGACCTCACAGAAGAGGTGAGCTTTTTTTAATGAAAATTTATTTTTAATGAAAATTTATAGTTATATGGCATGGTGTGTTGATTTATTCATTGGCCTAATTTGAATAAATCATATAAATGAATCCTATAAAATATTTTATTGATATGTTTTTTAACAGTAAGATTACGTCATGTTATAAACATGGTTTATAAATTGATAACATACTTTTGGGTCCCCTTTTGACCTTTGTGATCAACTGTATCCTGTGTAAAGTAGGATATAACAGGGATGTTTAGACAAGATGTTGGAAACAAATTACACACTTTACCCATTTATTGCTCTCCAGTCTTCAGTAGTTGAAAGAAATCGGTCAAGTGTTGCTTGTGACATCATGATTTATTTTTAATGCTTGTTTTGATCAAACAGAAAAAAAGGTAATATTTTAATCAGATATGTAAACTATTCATTTCTTTGCCTCATAAAAAAGCACAATTTCAATCACATCATCATAACTTCATATTTAGGAATTAATAGCAAGAAAAGTTTCATATATAGCCTGTTAATTCTGGACATTATTTACAGATTCAAGAGCTTGATGATAAATATCAAGAAACACTAGACATGCTTCATGCTGCCCAGGAAGATATTCGGCTGCTGCGCAGTAAGTCTCGTCCACGGGCCATGCGGCAGCACTACAGTGCATTCTCACCATACTTCCCTCGAGATTCCTTAGCCTCAGAGCTGGAGAGCAGCCTGAAGAATGAGTACCAGTATCCAGATGGGAACTCCCCATCAGATAGAAAGTGAGTGGCTGGTCACAGTATATTTGTGGTTATAACAAGACTATTCTATGCCAATACCTCAACCAGTATGTCAGTTTTTAATAGAACCTTTCCCTTTATTATTTTTTTAAAGATGACTTTTTATGTCAATGTTCTGTAATAATTGCAGTGATCACAACTGGCGTGTAATGCAGACATACAGGTATGCCAGGAGGGCTACCAGTCGCGGCCTGAGCAGTAGAAGTATGAGTCGAACCCCAGGATCTGGCAGCGAGTCCTGCGACTCCCCTGTCCCCACTTCCAGTCGGAGCTCCATGTATCTCTCTGAGGGAGAGTCCATACCTAATGATGGCTATGCAGCTGATTCGGACAGTACTTACGGGTAAGTGGGGCGTGTTCTTAAATGGATATTGTAACAAATGTCTTCCTTTTGATAATTTTTCCACAGATGTCTTTGCATCAGCAGAAAAATGTGGGTGTCATGTTTTTTGAAAATATTTTTCCTTTTGAAAGATATGGTTTTTGAGCACACGAATTTTAGACAGTGTGCAGTTAGTCTTGGGAACAATTCAACAGTATTTTTTCACACTATCTACATTAAGTTTATGAAATTTAGTAAATAGGAAAATATTTTCATATTGCTGCAGGCAAAAGTTAAATGTCTTGCACATGTCAATATATCTATCCTTTTTATGTATTTAAAGATAAGAATTAGCTATTAAACTTTGTCTTAATTTTTTGCACATGTGTCTTTTAGCTATCAATGGATGCTTTTTTATGAGTCACTTGTCATGATTTGACAATTAATTATTGAAGCCTTAATTGGTATTGTGTTCTGTTAATCTTCATTCCGAAATTAATTAACATAAAGCTTATACTGTGCATTTTTGTGTCACTTAAACCATAATGGTGTGTAAAACATTCAAATTAATAGGATTTTTGTTCTGTTCTTCATATCTGCTTTTACTTAGCCTCACTTATGATACCTACTGTGCTATCTTAAAGCCATGTGGTCTGCTATTATAAAGATATTTGCCCTATACATATACACAACATATACCTATATACATATGCACAAGCTTCTTCACTAAACCACATATTCAGTGCAGTGTGTTGTTCCATGTGTTAACCCCTTCCCTTGCAGTACATCAAGCAGTAGGACACAGTTAGGAAGGCCTGGGATTCCAGGTTCCAATGATCTGGAGACAGCTTTGAGAAGGCTGACACTACGCAGTCAGACGGAACAAGCTTATCTGGAGGGAGAGAAGGAGAGGAGGGAAAGGAGGTACATGCTGGATTCTCTCTATTGGTGTTCACATTATGTTTATTTGAAAATATTGGACTTGCGCTTGTTTTTTTTTTTGTTTTTTTTTTGCCCTTAATATTACTTTTGATGTTGGTCTTGCTTCTGCTTCATCTCTGTTTGCAGACATTTATTGGTACTCTTCATCTTGCTATCTGATATCATATTCGAAGCATTGTGTATATTACATGTCAGGTGTATGGAAATATTAATTGGTTTGCATTGCCTGCTTTACGTTGAATGCTGCAGGGAAGTAGGATTATGCGCTGCTATCAAATATATTAAACACTATTTTTAGTGCAAGTCAGGTTTTCCTAAGTCTTACATACAGACATTCTTTGTTTCTTATAAACCTTTTAAGACTTCACCTTTTCTTACAACTTCACTGCTAATCCCTGAAGGTCAGTTGTTAGTCTTTTCACTGCCACTTATCCATATAAATGAAAAATTCTTTGTTATTTCCCCAGGACCAGTGGCGGCTCCTCCACCCCAACACAGTCTCACACTCCAGACAGCCTGATGTCTGGGGGCAGTTTCTCTGGGATGTCTTCGTGGTCTGGGTATGCACTACATGGCGGAGGCTATGCGCCTGGCTTCAGGATTCCAGAAAAACTACAGATAGTCAAACCCATAGAAGGTAAGCATAAGTCATCTTATTTTTTCCTGTACTCTAACTCTAAGCTTGAATAATGTAGTCATTATCAAGGTGGCATTTATGAAAGAGAGTTTTTTCTGCTGTTGACATTTTATATTTTTTACTGTGCTAATTAAGTTGCTATAACGGAAGCAAACAAACACAGAAATGCTTCACTCAGATCTTACTTTGTTGCTGTCAGCTTGTTTCACGAAGTATTGCATATCTTTCTGCGTGGTTTAAGATGTAATATTTATATTTAAGCTTGCTCCCCACCTCCCACATTCCAGAGGCAGCCACACCTGTGTGTGTGTGATTTTTGAAGTGTGTCCTGAAGTTCAAAACTTTGGTGGTTTCTAGAAATGAGGAAGTTTAAGTGTATTGCCTGTATATTGTAGGTTCAGCCACCTTGCACCAGTGGCAAAGGTTAGCCACCCCCCACTTGGGTGGGATATTTGAGGAGCGCCCAGGAGTGCAGACAAAAGGGGAGAGGAAGCTGGATATGGAAGAAGAGGTCTACAGTCTCAGTGACTTTGAGGAAGATGGTATGTATCACAAAGAAGAAAGTGCATTCCAGTTGAAGGAACATAAGCTCTGCCCTAAAATTAAAAAGGCTGCAGAAATTTAATGATTTTGACTGATTGAAACCATGATTGTCACATCAAAAACAGTTTATCATTATCTGGTTATTGGTTTTGTATAAAGCATGTTCTTCAGCATGTTCATTTCCTCAATCTTTTTATTCTGAATTTGATAGTTTTGTTAACATCTTTGTGTTCTGTTTACTTTGAAAGATACTGCACCTTATTTTACTGTTATGCTTTTTAGTTTGGAGCACATCAGAGAGCTGAATTTCGATAGTTATCACTAAACTCAAGAAAAGCTTCCTAATATTATAACTGTGAATATTTTATATTTTCAATCTGACATCTTTTTGCACCTTTTCATATCATGCACATGTCACAAAGTGACACCTTTTTTTCGTCTTATTCATACAGATAGACATTTTATAACATCGAGTAGACTGTCAGACAGATCAGACAGGACTGTGGTAATTTTTCATGCTGTGTTGGTTTGGCTTTGCCTCGTAGAGTTCAATGCACATAAATATATACTGTTATCAACTTTGGCTGAGGTAGCTATGTTGTTTTACTGATCTTAGAAAATTGATATCGACTGAAGCACAGTGGAAGTTTATATCACTTTTCTGAGGTCTTCAAAATGACATATTGTCCAAAAGCAAAAGGCATTCATTGTTTTGTTATATAATTTAATACTTGAAAGATATTGCCAACAGTTGCAACATTGCTGTCATCTGATTGCAAAAATGTTTTGTTTTCCCTGATTGTCAAAAAATGGTAACAACATAAGCATTCAATATAGTTTGGTGATGGCGTCATCAGTAAATATTGAATAATATCAGACCTCAAATTTGTGGATATAAGACAATAATTACGTGTTACTACCTGTGAATGAGGTGAAGGAAACCAGCTTTTTTATAGCTGCAGTACACAGCCAACTTATTTTGCTTAACAGGGGTTTTTGGTACAACTGTAGTCCACCCTCATCCACCTTGTAAAAAGTTATTTTCATATACTGATAGCTAGTAGTTACCCCTCTGAAAAAATGCAATACTGAAATTTAATGCATGCACTCATAAAAACTAGTTTGCTGCATTTTGGGTGATCATATGTAGATAAACATCCTGCTTCTGAGCCTTTTAAACTGTGATCTGGTATTTAGGATATTCCAAGAAAGACAATTAAGTATTTAGTAGCATTAAAAAAAAGTGAACAGTAAACAAAATATATTCAGGTACCAAATAGAGCAATACTAATTTGAAATAAAATTTTCATGTCTTAATATACTCGGTATATCATCTCACGCTATGCAATAAAGTTTGTGAAATGTAAGGGCTTTTCTTCGAGATCTTGCAGCTTCTTGTTTGCTCTTGAAAAAGCATATGTATATAGACATTTCTTTGCAGTATCTAATCATCAATGCTCATATTTTACTAACTTTTAGCTAACTTTTTACTAATCTTGCATTCTTCTCATACTAGTTTGTCATTTGACTTTTTTTGTTGTGACTATGTTGCATTACAAGTTTACATCAGTAGCAGAATTTCCACAGAAGAATAAAGGAATCTGCTCTTCTGGGCTTGTTTAAAAAAAAAAACATAAATAATTGTGTACCTCTAAGTTGACAATTATTTACAGATGTTTACTTTCTTTCTTGTGTGAGAAAATGATAAGATATTTGGAGGGGCCTGTGCAAAGGGTAGCAGTCCAACATGCAAACCCAGTGTTGCTTATAAAATAGCTTTTGGGTGGCTATTCTAAATTTGCTTTAACACCAGTCATGGGGCATAAGAGTTGAAGCCAGTACACATTACATGGAGAAACATTTTGGTTCACAAATAGTTACTGTTCAGATACATATAGAAGTTATACTGACATAGTCAGATTTATAGATTTGTTTTGCGTGGATATTCAATTCATGTTTGACAGTTTTATCATTTCCCTTTACTTCATACATTTTTCATGCCAAACAAAAACTTAATATTACTATAATATTCACCTATAATATACATGTTATGTTATTTGTCATTGCAGAGGTCTGCAACCCCGGAAAGTGCTGTGAGCTTGCCAGCTTCACCTTCACACTCACAGACTCGAAAATCATCCATCCTGACCAGAATTATGCCCCTGTGGCAGAAACTGTGGTCACCTCTAGGTAAAATATGTTAATTATCTTTGTATGCCACATTTAGGGAAACAATATGATCAGAAAATATGGAAATTCTCTATTTAGAATCCCACTTCTGGAAGAAATGAGGCCACCTGTAGGTAAAATAGCCATACCTTTAGATAAAATTCTCTATTTAGAATCCAGATTATATATATATATATAAAACTGGTATGTTTGATATTAGTCAGAGAAAAGTGGAATCAAAATTGAATAATTTAAAAAATGTCCTTAAATTTTGGTTTTTAATTTTTTCTTCTCATCATACTTTACACAGTGCATATTGAATCTTGATAAATATTTTTGTAAGATGTTTATGTTGATTTGTAATCTTTTCAGCGCCAAAGGCTCAATAAGCTCTGTGTCTTCAGTGCCAAACCTACTCAGTCCACAGGGGAACAAAGGTACTTCTACCTTTAGCATGTCACTGGGCCTGGCAGCCACACTGCAGGAGCGGGGCATAACAGCAGCAAAGACTTGGGAAGAAACACTTTTGAATCAGCAAGGGAAACAAACACTTGGTGACAAGGATGGTTTGGACAAACCAACAGAAGGCAGCCCTATAAGATATAATTACTCTCTCAGCAACTTGCCAGGAAGATTCCCAAGTATTGTGACTGAGACAATTTATGATGCTACCAAGATGGCGTCTCGCTCCAGCGCCATCTATACTAGTGCAACAACGAATTGTACCTACAGCACCACAGCATCTGGACTGTCTTCCTTTCCTAGTCTTGGATCGATGATGTCTTCATCCGCCAGCACTGGCTCTTTAGCCAGCAGTTCTGTCACAAAACCAGCCTCAGCATTAGACCTTACTCATGTCAGTATCATGGATAAAATATTGAACATTGGTATCAGTAGAATAATGACATCAGACAGTAATGATGACATCAAAAAGGACTCCACAGGATCACACCATGATCCTCACAATTCCAAGCCCCCACTAGCACCTCTCAGTATTCAGATCGATTCCCCAACTGAGACCCAAGGGAGCAAAGAACCATCTACCCCGCCAAACTCCCCAACATTCATGATCTCCAATCCATTATTACAGCTGAATAAGCTTCAGTTTGCCAGAGGCCCTGAGCTTGGGATTTACGGAAGCATGCCTGGAGTTAACCCCAGGAAAATATCCAAATCCAAAACCCATGAAGAATTGGGAGCAACCGGTGGGCACTAGTACATTACTGTTTATGAGTTAAAAAACAAAGAAATGAAAAACACTAAGTAATAGTTGATTGCACTATGTTAAGCAATAGGAAACCATTGCCTATGGGGAAAAATATTGATATAGGATATTGTAAACATAGGAGGCCCTGCAGTCTTACTTTCTTGCACATCAGTGTATACTTTGCTATATATATATATATATATCCTGCACATGACTTTTTATAAGCATATAATAAGGCAGTGAAAACTACTATTAAAGCAGATTTATCAAAAGACTGTAAAATAAGCAATTTTAATTCATGTGCACTGTTGTATTGTTTTACATGAGAGGTTAATGTGAGGAAATGATTGTGGATTTTAGACAACAAGAATGTCTCTAGTCATTTTATGTTTAACTTATCTATGCTTATGTTTTTGGTATCAGCAGGGTATGTCCTAATTTTTTTATGCATCTGCTTGAATTTTTATTATGCAAGATCATGCTACAATAGCTTTATACTTATTTGTATATTGCAAATTTTGTTGCAAGTGTAAATAGCTGAAAGTTTAAGCTTATCATTGTGGTGACATTTATCCCAGTTGTACAATTGTACATATTTCTGGAAGATTTTTATTTGTAAATGGTCTTATGTAGTTTTGTTATTGTTAATTTTTTTTATCAGGGATAGGACCTCGAAGGCATTCCTGTCTCAAACTGAATGTGATACTTGCTAAAATGGATATTTCAGGCTCAATTAGACACCTTGATTCAATAAAAAAAAAGTTTTTCCTTTTCTTTTTTGGAAACATAAATTCATTGGCACATTACTGTCAGAAAAATGACTAACAGCTTATTTCCAAGGTCATGGAAATTTTCAAACAACTCATCTGTGCTGTGCTTCTATCTTCAGTAGCAAAATATGACTAGAAGAGTATAGCATATCTTTCACTGGCCACAAGTTGGTCAATGATTTTTAAAACATTAGGGGGCATACTTGTAATCATGATATTCTTCATAATGAAGATTGATATATATATTGTGATTGTCTTCAACTTTTTGTCCTTTAGCTTGTCATATAGATTTTAAAATCCGGTGAGTTTTTCTGTTAAATCTTTGAACAGGGCAAGTATTGCTAAATACTTCATATATCCTTCAAAAGTTTTTGTGCAGAAATTTAGTTGAAATTGTTGTATTTAAGGCCAGTCCCAAAAGACTGTGGCATTGAATTTATAACCTGAATATGTGCACTTTATTAATTGATTTGTGCAAAAAAGGTGGTTACTAATTTATTTTTTAATTTATTAAAATATGCACACAAAGATTTATTCTAGTTGAAACACCCTCAGCTTCCATCTATTTTAATACAGGATTTGTCAAGGTACCTTACTTAGTAAGTGCTTCTGTAGGTAGGAATATGTTTGGTGCTTCTTGGTGCTGTAAAAGTTACTGCTTCTCCTCTAACCAGCATGTTATGTTCAAAGTGTCTGATGTTTGCAGAACTGGTAAGCTAATCATCATGTGTGACTGGCAATTGTCATTTGGTATATAAATCTGTTGACCCAGTTCACAGAATCATTGCTGTAAACCTGCTAGAAATGAAGATTAAATAAACGATAGTAATAATTGCTGTTTTACTGTCCTGCTTTTATTTAGTCAGTAGATGAGCAGAAAGGCAATTAATTGTGAGAGGCCCATTGTGGCAGAGATGACTGCATAACACTTCATAATATAATGAGTACAAAGTTTTGTCTGAAAACCTTGGTGTATATGGTGAAAGTTTGTTTTAGGTCTGATAGATATGTAAATGGCTTCTGTAACTCAATTTCTACCTTGGCAAAACAGTGTCTTTCTTTTTTGTCAAATAATCCACTTTTTATATACAGATGCTATCTGTGTCTGTACCTGTACAGACATGCTGTCTGTATTAAGAACAAGGCCTATAATATATAATAATCAGATGAGATCAAAATTCATCTTTAACTAAATGAAAAAGCTCTTCCCTTCTTTTCAATGCAATGCAACTTTTGTGTTGACAGATAAAATGTTATTTCTGATGAAATCTAGCAAACCAAAGCTCTTTCCACAGAAACGCGGAATTCCACATTTTTTAATTCAATTATGATGGTTCCTGAGATTTGTCAAGATCTGCAATAAAATCTGGGGGGTGGGTCCCATGATAAACATTCAGAGGGTTTTTTTTTTAACCTAGGCTAATGTCTGATCTAGGCATTAAAATACTTGTTAAGTCATGAATAACAAATACAAGAATAATTTCTTTTAGACACGACCAGTTTTGAATGAAAGCTAAAATCTACATATCAACCTGCACTTCAACCAATGTTTAAAACTTAACAGCACACAGTACTGTTTCTTTACTGACAGAGCATTTCCCAAGTTGTACCTTCGTGTAGTACATGTACACATATATAACCTAAAATTAACCTACGAGCCAGCTTACAAACCATTCCATTTTAAATACATATATAAAAATAAATTTGCAGCCAGCTTACAAACCAATCCATTTCAGATACACACAAAAATAGAAATTGTAAAAATAATATCACATTTAGGAAAATCACAATATGTTAATCTTATATCATTATTGCTGTAAACCCACAGACATGCTGGATGACGATTCATTCATAAATCTTCATAACATTGGTCAAATGTCTATTACACACTGGACACACCCTAGTAGTGGTCAGTATGTGGTCAGCACAAGCTGCACAGGCCTGGTAATGTCCACAAGGCTGGAATGCACAGTCCTTTTTCTTGATTTTACAAATGGAGCACACAAACCTCTGGACCTAAAAAAAGTATAAAGACAAAAGATAAATTACTTTATTGATGTTTATCATATAAAGGGATGAATCCCCTTAAAGCAATCTGCACATGTCTGAAAGTTACCAATAGTCACATTTTTATTCTGTAAAGCCTAATTCTTATATTTTCCACTTCAGACCTTAAAGACGATAAAACCTTTGTGATAAAAGTTGACCTGACACGTATCTAATGAGGTTATCACCTTCTCAGCCAAGGTGTAGCCATGCCATCTGGCAATTTCAAAAAATGTTTGTTGGATACATGATATAAGGTCAGGCTACAAAACATGTGATGTGAATTGAAAATAATGCCATGCCTGGTATTGTGAATGTCAGGAAGGCAGAAGCCATTAAACATTAAGAACTAAATCATTGAATTAAAAAATGGAATAAAACATCGAATCCAAGTGCAGAGACCAATCAAGCAATGAATAGTGACTAGAAGAAATCAATAAGAAAGGGGTTATAAGTGCTTAAATAATATATATTTCAATAAAGTAAGGGGCATTTATTTTTGATCGAGTTTAAAATAACATTTTTCTTAATCAATATGAATTATTCACTTAAATATGAAGTTTTTTCTTGCTATCCAGTGCCCCTATGTTAAAGCCTGCTACTGCACATGCTCTACCTGCAAGTCCTCCATAAGAGTATCACACAGCTGACATAATGTCTCAAACTTCACCTTCTCATGGCTGTTTGCACCTTCAAGGTTTTCTTTAAATATCTCTTGTAGTGACCTAGTTCTGAAAAGTATTCATTATTTAAATGCAAAAAGTTTATGTTATCACTTTAAAATTATCCCTTTACTACAAAAATTAGATATCTAGCTCCTTGTTCTTTTAAGAATATAATTAAAATAACACATTAATAAGTTGAGAAAACCAAAACCATGTTGCTACAGTTTCATTGAGTTTGACTGGATCTGATTATACCTGTTATTGTGTTCTTCTATCCAGTGTAACACTTCTTCAAACAGTGTTTGCTCCTTTATGTCCATAGCTTGGTGAAGTTCTTGTAACTGCAGCAAAATTATAATAATATTATAAATTCATTCCATGTTAACCTAAAACCATGAATATATACAAAAAAGAAAAAAAAACACTAGGTTTCTCAAACAGATATTTATGATGGATAATCTTTAAATTAAAGAGTGTAGTTTTGTTAACGAAAAGAAAGTATAGTTCCTATACTGCATATTTTTCACCCTTAAAAATACTGAAAGATCTGTAGAAAATAATTCAGATGGGACTTTAAATAAATTACCTTTTTATCAGATTTTTCTCTCTGTTGTTTTTCAAAATTCATGTTTCTTGCCATTTCCAGGTTATGATCTTCAGCTCTCTTTATCTGTTCCTCTAGCTGCTGGATCTTTCCCTGTTAGATAATTAATTTGGGTACAAGAAAATTAGAGCAAAATGATTAACTTAATGCATATGATTGGTCTCCTGTGTCATTCATGCTATCAATTAACACAACAATTTTTTGAACTTTTCAAAGGTAAGGGACAATGTCAAGGCAGCAGAGCAGTTAAATGTATAGATATAATTAAAAGCAGAAACTAGAAAAGCACTCAGAGAGCAAAGACCTCTGCCAAGGTAACTCAACAAACAAACAAACAATCAAACCAAAAACATAATTAATCTCCTTGGCAAAGGAAATAAATAATTTCTCTGTTCTACCCACAAAATCATAAAAATTTTCATTATGTTGGGAGAAATAATCTTACAGAATCTTGAAAAATAAACAGTAACAGTTTTACTTTACCTTGAGCTTCTTTTCGTAGTCTGCCTTAAGTTGCTGCTCAATATTGACTCTCTGTATCTCATCTGACATCTGGTGTTGCTGGAATGTTTGCAGTTCTTGCTGGAGCTTGGTATATTCTACACGATGCTGATCTGAGATCTCTGCAATTTGTTGCTAGAAAAAAAAAACTCTTACAAATCTCAATTTGTCAATAAGTTCATTCCAAGATGGACATAAAACTATCATAACAAAAAGAAAGGTATAAAATGTCAAAATAAAATAATTATTTGGAGAACCTGGGCATTGATCCCAGTACCTCTCACATGCTAAGCGAGCGCTCTACCATTTGAGCTAGATCCCCAGATGAGATCCCCTACCAAGACAGGAGTGTTTTCCCATCTTTTTTTTTTTTTTTTTTTTTTTGTTTTCCCTATATTAATCTTTATTGAGTAGTACTTGCACTTTCCCTGCTTTAGTCTAGACATTATATAATGTATATCAAACTGTATATGGTAATCACTCTGCGGATTACTTCTTGTATTTGTATTTGATCATGCCCAGATGTAGGGCGATTGTCAATAAACTTCTGAATCTGTTGAGTTAATGTATTAGCTGATAATAATGTTTTTGTGTAACTCGATGATTTTGCCAAATAACAAATGCATGATATGTGAATCTTAAAATATATCACAAATAATATACAAATAAATGACAAAACGTATTGGAGAACCTGGGCATTGATCCCAGTACCTCTCACATGCTAAGCGAGCGCTCTACCATTTGAGCTAGATCCCCTGATGTATTACCTGCTACTTCACAGGTGTTTCGTTCTCATATCTCGCCTGACTATTACTGATAACAACATAATGAGCTTGTTATCTTAACAAGATATGCCATTTGTTTTCCTGAGGGACTCTTATAGCTTCCATCATGCCATATACTCTTAAACAAGTAAACAACCCAAGACTTCATTGTTTTGGAATCTGTAATTTTTTTTCAACACACACATTCAAAGTGAATAAAGATAATGTATTTTGAGAATGCATTATGGGGTTTTAAGCATGAAAGAAGTGAACAAGCCCATGTCCTGTTAAAAATGTACATTGCCCAAACATGTGTATTCTAATGATAACAGCCAAATAGAGTGAAACTGCACTCAAAATTATTATTTGAAGTTCAAAACACAATTACAGTGTATGAGAAATATATGTACGGTGACTTACTTTAAACTTTTGTGGCAATTTTTTTTCAGTGCTATTTCCACAAACAATGAGTGTAATATCTAAATTATTCTCACATCACATGTGGTAATGACTCTATCTTTACAATGGGGTAAATTTTGAATTTTACAGATTCTGTATTTTTTAAGTCATAAATTCTTAAAATAAAAACATTCCTATTCAGTGGTGGCAGCAATATTGCAAAGGAGGCTACCATATAGTTCTATTCTATACAGTAAAAGTACTAAAAACTGCTTCACGGAAATGTATTTTTAATGATTCCATAACTATGTATCTAAAAGACTGATAATGTTTCCCCATTGGAAAGATTGAGTCATTGAAATACCCCTTTTTTTTACTACTCCAGTTACACGTGTATGATAAATCAAGATTCCTTTACATGACCAAAAGATGTTTTGAAATAAATTACTCCAGAACAAACTTAAAATTTGTTGCTTTTCATTCTTGCTTATCACCAAGACATACAAGTACCTATTTTGGCATGACACACACCATTCATTCATTCATTCATTCATTCATTCATAATTAGAATATGGTCCAAGTGTTGCAACAATACTTTTTTCTTTAAATCACATAAGTCACCTCTAATTTTGAAATCTCCTGTTGCAAAAAAGATTCCCTCTCTTCACAGATTTTATGGCTTTGTTGTGCAGTCTGATCAGAGGGCATTGCACTGGTATTATGAATCTCTTGGCAAAACTTGGAACTTGACTTTGCTTGTTCACAAACCTGAAAAAAAAAACAACTAGATGTGTACACACTTCTGTCAAATACAGAATATACAAGGCAGCAAAGCTGTCAAATGTACAGACAAAAAGCAGGAAATAACAAAAAAGGCTACTGTCAATTCTGATGCAAAAGTACACTTTGTTAAACTGCAAATTCAACATCAAATTTTAATTATGCTCAACAGGTAAAATACATCTGTGTCTGTACATAAAAACGGCATTTCTTTAAAATAATGGCCCGATTATGCTGATTTTTGAACTCAACCTGCGATTTAGCAGGAATGACCACTCCTGTGAGTTTAATGACAATTGGCCTATCTGTTTTTCTTATATTGTGTTTACAGTGTTGCATANCTTTGCTGCCTTGTTCTAATAAACCTTAAGACTTCACCTTTTCTTACAACTTCACTGCTAATCCCTGAAGGTTAGTTGTTAGTCTTTTCACTGCCACTTATCCATATAAATGAAAAATTCTTTGTTATTTCCCCAGGACCAGTGGCGGCTCCTCCACCCCAACACAGTCTCACACTCCAGACAGCCTGATGTCTGGGGGCAGTTTCTCTGGGATGTCTTCGTGGTCTGGGTATGCCCTACATGGCGGAGGCTATGCGCCTGGCTTCAGGATTCCAGAAAAACTACAGATAGTCAAACCCATAGAAGGTAAGCATAAGTCATTTTATTTTTTCCTGTACTCTAACTCTAAGCTTGAATAATGAAGTCATTATCAAGGTGGCATTTATGAAAGAGAGTTTTTTCTGCTGTTGACATTTTATAATTTTTACTGTGCTAATTAAGTTGCTGTTACGGAAGCAAACAAAGCACAGAAATGCTTCACCCAGATTTTACTTTGTTGCTGTCAGCTTGTTTCATGAAGTATTGCATGTCTCACTGCGTGGTTTAAGATGTAACATTTATATTTAAGTTTGCCCCCCTCCCACATTCCAGAGGCACCCTCACAGTGGGATTTTCGAAAAGTGCCCTGAAGTTCAAGACAGGTGGTTTCTAGGAATGAGGAAGTTTATGTGTATTGCCTGTATATTGTAGGTTCAGCTACCTTGCACCAGTGGCAAAGGTTAGCCACCCCCCACTTGGGTGGGATATTTGAGGAGCGCCCAGGAGTGCAGACAAAAGGGGAGAGGAAGCTGGATATGGAAGAAGAGGTCTACAGTCTCAGTGACTTTGAGGAAGATGGTATGTATCACAAAAAAGAAACTGCATCCCAATTGAAGGAACATAAGCTCTGTCCTAAATTAAAAAGACTGCAGAAATTTAAAGATTTTGACTCATTGAAACCATGATTGCCACATCAAAAACATTTAATCATTATCTGTTTATTGGTCTTGTATTAAGCATGTTCTTCAGCATGTTCATTTCCTCAATCTTTTTATTCTGAATTTGATAGTTTTGTTAACATCTTTGTGTTCTGTTTACTTTGAAAGATACTGCACCTTATTTTAGTGTTATGCTTTTTAGTTTGAAGCACATCAGAGAACACTTTGTTAGTTATCACTAAACTCAAGAAAAGCTTCTAATATAATAACTGAATATTTTTTTATTTTCAATCTGACATCTTTATGCACCTTTTCATATCATGCGCATGTCACAAAGTGACACCTTTTTTGTCTTATTCATACAGATAGACATTTTATAACATCGAGTAGACTGTCAGACAGATCAGACAGGACTGTGGTAATTTTTCATGCTGTGTTGGTTTGGCTTTGCCTCGTAGAGTTCAGTGCACATAAAGATATACTGTTATCAACTTTGGCTGAGGTAGATATTGTTGCTTTATAGACCTCAGAAAATTGATATCGACTGAAGCACAGCAGAAGTTTATATCACTTTTCTGATGTCTTCAAAATGACATATTGTCCATAAGCAAAAATCAGTAATTGTTTTGTTATATAATTTAATACTTGAAAGATATCACCAACAGTTGCAACATCGCTGTCATCTGATTGCAAAAATGTTTCATTTTCTCTGATTGTCAAAAAATGGCAACAACATAAGCATTCAATGTAGTTTGGTGAGGGCGTCATCAGTAAAATTATCAGACCTCAAATTTGTGGATATAAGACAATAATTATGTATTACTACCTGTGAATGAGGTGAAGGAAACCAGCTTTTTTATAGCTGCAGTACACAGCCAACTTATTTTGCTTAACAGGGTTTTTGGTACAACTGTTGTCCACATCTACCTTGTAAAAAGTATTATTTTCATATACTCATAGCTAGTAGTTAACCCTTTAAAAAATGCAATACTGAAATTTAATGCATGCACTCATAAAAACTAGTTTGCTGCATTTTGGGTGATCATATGTAGATAAACATCCTGCTTCTGAGCCTTTTAACTGTGATATGGTATTTAGGATATTCCAAGAAAGACAAAATTAAGTATTGAGTAGCATTAAAAAAGTGAACAATATACAAAATATATTCCAAATATACCAAATAGAGCAATATTTATTTAAAATAATTTTTTTTATGTCTTAATATACCCGGTATATTATCTCAAGCTATGAAATAAAGTTTGTAAAATGTAAGGGTTCTTCTTTGAGATCTTGCAGCTTCTTGTTTGCTCTTGAAATAGAGTATGTATATAGACATTTCCTTGCAGTATCTAATCATCAATGCTCATATTTTACTATCTTTTAGCTAACTTTTTACTAATCTTGCATTCTATTCATACTAGTCATTTTGCCTTTTTTGTGATTATGTTGCATTTCAAGTTAACATTTTTAGTAGCAGAATTTCCACACATGAATAAAGGAATCTGCTCTTCTGGGGTGTTAAAAAACCTAAATAATTGTGTACCTCTAAGTTGACAATTATTTACAGATATTTACTTTCTTTCTTGTGTGAGAAAATGATAAGAGATTTGGAGGGGCCTGTGCAAAGGGTAGCAGTCCTACTTGCAAACCCAGTGTTGCTTATAAAATGGCTTTTGGGTGGCTATTCAAAATTTGCTTTAACACCAGTCATGGGGCATAAGAGTTGAAGCCAGTACACTTTACATGGAGAAACATTTTGGTTCACAAATAGTTACTGTTCAGATACATATAGAAGTTATTCTGACATAGTCAGATTTATAGATTTGTTTTGCGTGGATATTCAATTCATGTTTGACAGTTTTATCATTTCCCTTTACTTCATATATTTTTCATGCCAATCAAAAACTTAATATTACTATAATATTCACCTATGATATACTTGTTATGTTATTTGTTATTGCAGAGGTCTGCAACCCCGGAAAGTGCTGTGAGCTTGCCAGCTTCACCTTCACACTCACAGACTCGAAAATCATCCATCCTGACCAGAATTATGCCCCTGTGGCAGAAACTGTGGTCACCTCTAGGTAAAATATGTTAATAATCTTTGTATGCCACAATTAAGGAAACATGATAGGAAATATGATCAGAAAATATGGAAATTTTCTATTTAGAATCCCTTTTCTGGAAGAAAAGAGGCCAACTGTAGGTAAAATAGCCATACCTTTAGATAAAATAAAAATACCTTATATATATATATATATATATATAAAACTGGTATGTTTGACATTAGTCAGAGAAAAGTGGAATCAAAATTGAATAATTTAAAAAATGTCCTTAAATTTTGGTTTTTAATTTTTTCTTCTCATCATACTTTACACAGTGCATATTGAATCTTGATAAATATTTTTGTAAGATGTTTATGTTGATTTGTAATCTTTTCAGCGCCAAAGGCTCAATAAGCTCTGTGTCTTCAGTGCCAAACCTACTCAGTCCACAGGGGAACAAAGGTACTTCTACCTTCAGCATGTCACTGGGCCTTGCAGCCACACTGCAGGAGCGGGGCATAACAGCAGCAAAGACTTGGGAAGAAACACTTTTGAACCAACAAGGGAAACAGACACTTGGTGACAAGGATGGTTTGGACAAACCAACAGAAGGCAGCCCTATAAGATATAATTACTCTCTCAGCAACTTGCCAGGAAGATTCCCAAGTATTGTGACTGAGACAATTTATGATGCTACCAAGATGGCGTCTCGCTCCAGCGCCATCTATACTAGTGCAACAACGAATTGTACCTACAGCACCACAGCATCTGGACTGTCTTCCTTTCCTAGTCTTGGAACGATGATGTCTTCATCCGCCAGCACTGGCTCTTTAGCCAGCAGTTCTGTCACAAAACCAGCCTCAGCATTAGACCTTACTCATGTCAGTATCATGGATAAAATATTGAACATTGGTATCAGTAGAATAATGACATCAGACAGTAATGATGACATCAAAAAGGACTCCACAGGATCACACCATGATCCTCACAATTCCAAGCCCCCACTAGCACCTCTCAGTATTCAGATCGATTCCCCAACTGAGACCCAAGGGAGCAAAGAACCATCTACTCCGCCAAACTCCCCAACATTCATGATCTCCAATCCGTTATTACAGCTGAATAAGCTTCAGTTTGCCAGAGGCCCTGAGCTTGGGATTTACGGAAGCATGCCTGGAGTTAACCCCAGGAAAATATCCAAATCCAAAACCCATGAAGAATTGGGAGCAACCGGTGGGCACTAGTACATTACTGTTTATGAGTTAAAAAACAAAGAAATAAAATACACTAACTAATAGTTGATTGCACTATGTTAAGCAATAGGAAACCTTTGCCTATGGGGAAAAATATTGATATAGGATATTGTAAACATAGGAGACCCTGCAGTCTTACTTTCTTGCACATCAGTGTATTCTTTGCTATATATATATCCTGCACATGACTTTTTGTAAGCATTTAATAAGGCAGTGAAAACTACTATTAAAGCAGATTTATCAAAAGACTGTAAAATAAGCAATTTTAATTCATGTGCACTGTTGTATTGTTTTACATGAGAGGTTAATGTGAGGTAATGATTGTGGATTTTAGACAACAAGAATGTCTCTAGTCATTTTATGTTTAACTTATCTATGCTTATGTTTTTGGTATCAGCAGGGTATGTCCTAATTTTTTTATGCATCTGCTTGAATTTTTATTATGCAAGATCATGCTAAAATAGCTTTATACTTATTTGTATATTGCAAATTTTGTTGCAAGTGTAAATAGCTGTAAGTTTAAGCTTATCATTGTGGTGACATTTATCCCAGTTGTACAATTGTACATATTTCTGGAAGATTTTTATTTGTAAATGGTCTTACGTAGTTTTCTTATTGTTAAATTTTGTTATCAGGGATAGGACCTCGAAGGCATTCCTGTCTCAAACTGAATGTGATACTTGCTAAAATGGATATTTCAGGCTCAGTTAGAAACCTTGATTCAATTAAAAAAATATATTCCCTTTTCTTTTTTGGAAACGTAAATTCATTGGCACATTACTGTCAGAAAAATGACTAACAACTTATTTTCAAGGTCATGGAAATTTTCAATCTGCTCATCTGTGCTGTGCTTCTATCTTCAGTAGCAAAACGTGACTGCTGTATACTAGTAGAGTATAGCCTGAGATATCTTTCACTGGCCATAAGTTGGTTAATGATTTTTAAAACATTATGGGGCGTACTTGTAATCATGATATTCTTCATAATGAAGATTGATATATTTATATATTGTGATTGTTTTCATCTTTTTGCCCTTTAGCTTTTCATATAGATTTTAAAATCTGGTGAGTTTTTCTGTTAAATCTTTGAACAGGGCAAGTATTGCTAAATACTTCATATATCCTTCAAAAGTTTTTGTGCAGAAATTTAGTTGAAATTGTTGTATTTAAGGCCAGTCCCAAAAGACCGTGGCATTGAATTTATAACCTGAATATGTGCACTTTATTAATTGATTTGTGCAAAAAAGGTGGTTACTAATTTATTTTTTAATTTATTAAAATATGCACACAAAGATTTATTCTAGTTGAAACACCCTCAGCTTCCATCTATTTTAATACAGGGTTTGTCAAGGTACCTTACTTAGTAAGTGCTTCTGTAGGTAAGAATATGTTTGGTGCTTCTTGGTGCTGTAAAAGTTACTGCTTCTCCTCTAACCAGCATGTTATGTTCAAAGTGTCTGTTGTTTGCAGAACTGGTAAGTTAATCATCATGTGTGACTGGCAATTGTCATTTGGTATATATAAATATAAATCTGTTGACCCAGTTCACAGAATCATTGCTGTAAACCTGCTAGAAATGAAGATTAAATAAACGATAGTAATAATTGCTGTTTTACTGTCCTGCTTTTATTTAATCAGTAGATGAGCAGAAAGTCAATTAATTGTGAGAGGCCCATTGTGGCAGAGATGACTGCATAACATTTCATAATATAATGAGGACAAAGTTTTGTCTGAAAAACCTTGGTGTATATGGTGAAAGTTTGTTTTAGTCTGATAGATATGTAAATGGCTTCTGTAACTCAATTTCTAACTTGGCAAAACAGTCTTTCTTTTTTGTCATCAAATAATCCACTTGTTATACACCTATGCTATTTGTGTCTGTACCTGTACAGACATGCTGTCTGTATTAAGAACAAGGCCTATAATATATATATAAATAATCAGATGAGATTAAAATTCATCTTTAACTAATGAAAAAGAAAATAACTCAGACACAAGTTCTTCCCTTCTTTTCAATGCAACTGCAAGATTTAAGTTGAAACCAGTAACTTTTGTGTTGACAGATAAAATGTTATTTTTGATGAAATCTAGCAAACATGACCTCTTTCCACAGAAACACAAAATTCCACATTTTTTAATTCAATTCTGATGGTTCCTGAGATTTGTCAAGATCTGCAATAAAATCTGGGGGTGGGTCCCATGATAAACATTCAGAGGTTTTTTTTTAAACCTAGGCTAATGTCTGATCTAGGCATTAAAATACTTGTTAAGTCATGAATAACAATACAGGAATAATTTCTTTTAGACACGGCCAATGAATGAAAGCTAAAATCTACATACAACCTGCACTTCATACAATGTTTAAAACTTAACAGCACACTGTACTGTTTCTTTACCATCAGAGTGTTTCCCCAAGTTGTACCTACAAGTAGTACACATAAATAACCTAAAATTAACCTATGAGCTAGGTTACAAACCATTCCATTTCAAATACATATATAAAAGTAAATTTGTAGCCAGCTTACAAACCATTCCATTTCAAATACACATATATGTATATAAATAGAAATTGTATAAATAATATCACAGTTAAGAAAATCACCATATGTTAATCTTATATCATTATTGCTGTAAATCCCCAGACAAGCTGGATGACAATTCATTCATAAATCTTCATAACATTGGTCAAATGTCTATTACACACTGGACACACCCTAGTAGTGGTCAGTATGTGGTCAGCACAAGCTGCACAGGCCTGGTAATGTCCACAAGGCTGGAATGCACAGTCCTTTTTCTTGATTTTACAAATGGAGCACACAAACCTCTGGACCTAAAAAAGTATAAAGACAAAAGATAAATTACTTTATTGATGTTTATCATATAAAGGGATGAATCCCCTTTAGGCAATCTGCACATGTCTGAAAGTTACCAATAGTCACATTTTTATTCTGTAAAGCCTAATTCTTATATTTTCCACTTCAGACCTTAAAGACGAAAAAAACCTCTGTGATAAAAGTTGACCTGACACATATCTAATGAGGTTATCACCTTCTCAGCCAAGGTGTAGCCATGCCATCTGGCAACTTCAAAAAGTATGTTTGTACAATACATGATATAAGGTCAGGCTACAAAACAAACCACTTGTGTTGCAAAGTGAAAATAATGCCATGCCTGGTAGGTGTATTGTGAATGTCAGGAAGACAGAAGCCTTTCTCAATGACTGGTTAGTCATTAAAAACTAAATTATTGAATTAAAAACGGTATAAAACATTGAATCCAAGTGCAGAGACCAATCAAGCAATGAATAGTGACTAGAAAAAATCAAAAAGAAAGGGGTTATAAGTGCTTCAACAATATCTATTTCAATAAAGCAAGGGGCATTTATTTTTGCTTGAGTTTAAAATAACATTTTGCTTAATCAATATGAATTATTCACTTAAATATGAAGTTTTTTTCTTGCTATCCAGTGCCCTATGTTAAAGCCTGCTACTGCACATGCTCTACCTGCAAGTCCTCCATAAGAGTATCACACAGCTGACATAATGTCTCAAACTTCACCTTCTCATGGCTGTTTGCACCTTCAAGGTTTTCTTTAAATATCTCCTGTAGTGACCTAGTTCTGAAACATATTCATAATATAAATGCAAACAGTCTTTATGTTATCACTTTAAAATAATACCTTTACCACAGGAACTAGATATCTAACTCCTTGCTCTTAATAACATATTAATAAGTTGAGAAAACCAAAACCATGTTGCTACAGTTTCATTGAGTTTGACTGGATCTGATTATACCTGTTATTGTGTTCTTCTATCCAGTGTAACACTTCTTCAAACAGTGTTTGCTCCTTCATGTCCATAGCTTGGTGAAGTTCTTGTAACTGCAGCAAAATTATAATAATATTATAAATTCATTCCATGTAAACCTAAAAACATGAATATATACATAAAAACACTAGGTTTTTGAAACAGATATTTATGATGGAAAATCTTTAAATCAAAGAATGTAGTTTTTTAACGAAAAGAAAGTATAGTTCCTATACTGCATATTTTGCACCCTTAAATTCATTACTGAAAGTTGTGTGGAAAATAATTCAGATGGGACTTTAAATAAATTACCTTAAATAAATTACCTTATTATCAGATTTTTCTCTCTGTTGTTTTTCAAAATTCATGTTTCTTGCCATTTCCAGGTTATGATCTTCAGCTCTCTTTATCTGTTCCTCTAGCTGCTGGATTTTTCCCTGTTAGATAATTAATTTGGGTACAAAGAAATTAGAGCAAAATGATTAACTCAATGCATATGATTGGCCTCCTGTGTCATTCATGCTATCAATTAACACAACAATTTTTTGAGGGACAATGTCAAGGCAGCAGAGCAGTTAAATGTACAGATATAATTAAAAGTAGAAACTAGAAAAGCACTCAGAGAGCAAAGACCTCTGCCAAGGTAACTCAACAAACAAACAAACAATCAAACCAAAAACATAATTAATCTCCTTGGCAAAGGAAATAAATAATTTCTCTGTTCTACCCACAAAATCATAAAAATTTTCATTTTGTTGGGAGAAATAATCTTACAGAATCTGTAAGAGTTTTAACAGTTTTACTTTAACAGTTTTACTTTACCTTGAGCTTTTTTTCATAGTCTGCCTTAAGTTGCTGCTCAATATTGACTCTCTGTATCTCATCTGACATCTGATGTTGCTGGAATGTTTGCAGTTCTTGCTGTAGCTTGGTATATTCTACACGATGCTGATCTGAGATCTCTGCAATTTGTTGCTAGAAAAAAAAAATCTTACAGATCTTAATTTGTCAATAAGTTCATTCCAAGATGGACATATAACAATCAAAACAAAAAGAAAGGTTTATAATGTCAAAATAAAATAATTTCTTGGAGAACCTGGGCATTGATCCCAGTACCTCTCACATGCTAAGCGAGCGCTCTACCATTTGAGCTAGATCCCCAGATGCTGAAATAGAGAAAAATCCCCCTGCAAGACAGGAGTCATTCCCCATCCTTTGTTGAGTTAATAATAATAATAATAATAATAATAATTTATTGAGCACAGAAATGTTTTTTACATTTAGAGGCTCTCTAACTACTATATATTATACATATGGAAGATAGTAATAATAGTAAATAAATGAAAAAAAAATGTATTAGTTAATGTATTAGCTGATATTGTTGGTTTTTTGTAACTCAATGATTTTGCCAATTTAATGAATGCATGATATGTGAAAGGAGTTTATCTTAAAATATACCACAAATAATATACAAATATACGACAAAACATATTGGAGAACCTGGGCATTGATCCCAGTACCTCTCACATGCTAAGCGAGCGCTCTACCATTTGAGCTAGATCCCCTGATGTATTACCTGCTACTTCACAGGTGTTTCGTTCTCATATCTCGCCTGACTATTACTGATAACAACATAATGAGCTTGTTATTTTAACAAGATATGCCATTTGTTTTCCTGAGGGACTCTTATAGCTTCCATCATGCCATATACTCTTAAACAAGTAAACACCCCAAGACTTCATTGTTTTGGAATCTGTAATTTTTTTTCAACACACACATTCAAAGTGAATAAAGATAATGTATTTTGAGAATGCATTATGGGGTTTTAAGCATGAAAGAAGTGAACAAGCCCATGTCCTGTTAAAAATGTACATTGCCCAAACATGTGTATTCTAATGATAACAGCCAAATAGAGTGAAACTGCACTCAAAATTATTATTTGAAGTTCAAAACACAATTACAGTGTATGAGAAATATATGTACGGTGACTTACTTTAAACTTTTGTGGCAATTTTTTTCAGTGCTATTTCCACAAACAATTAGTGTAATATCTAAATTATTCTCACATCACATGTGGTAATGACTCTATCTTTACAATGGGGTAAATTTTGAATTTTACAGATTCTGTATTTTTTAAGTCATAAATTCTTAAAATAAAAACATTCCTATTCAGTGGTGGCAGCAATATTGCAAAGGAGGCTACCATATACTATGGTATATGTTCTATTCTATACAGTAAAAGTACTAAAAACTGCTTCACGGAAATATATTTTTAATGATTCCATAACTATGTATCTAAAAGACTGATAATGTTTCCCCATTGGAAAGATTGAGTCATTGAAATACCCCTTTTTTTTACTACTCCAGTTACACGTGTATGATAAATCAAGATTCCTTTACATGACCAAAAGATGTTTTGAAATAAATTACTCCAGAACAAACTTAAAATTTGTTGCTTTTCATTCTTGCTTATCACCAAGACATACAAGTACCTATTTTGGCATGACACACACCATTCATTCATTCATTCATTCATTCATTCATTCATTCATTCATTCATTCATTCATTCATTCATTCATAATTAGAATATGGTCCAAGTGTTGCAACAATACTTTTTTCTTTAAATCACATAAGTCACCTCTAATTTTGAAATCTCCTGTTGCAAAAAAGATTCCCTCTCTTCACAGATTTTATGGCTTTGTTGTGCAGTCTGATCAGAGGGCATTGCACTGGTATTATGAATCTCTTGGCAAAACTTGGAACTTGACTTTGCTTGTTCACAAACCTGAAAAAAAAAACAACTAGATGTGTACACACTTCTGTCAAATACAGAATATATAAAAAAGGCAGGCATACATACAGAAAAACCTACAAACAACAAGTCCCAATTAATGACAAGGAAGCAGTCAAAAGTACATACACATATAATAGACATAATTCTAAGCAGGAATCTACGTTGACAGTGCACAGAATAATATCAAATGATAATTTACAGCAAAATCTAGCTTTTAATTGTATGCCACTGTTAATGTGGTCATTAAGAAAATTTAATTGTTAAAGACCTTAAGGACCATGGGAATTTAAAGTCACAACTTGACAATAAGCAAAAAATTCACAAAAAACTGCATAGCTTCAAGAAAACGGTATAAAAAGATGCTATTTGATCTCAGTCTGTATTTTGGTGGTATGAATTACCCAAAATTGAGAAAAATTAATCACATGGTTATCTAATGCTGTGGCTGGACATGATAATAGAAAAAGCATTGTCAAGAAGACCTTCCTACCTCCTGAGACACCTGTGTGAGGACAAACATCAGAGGGTGGTCCATTCTGTATGGCAGATAGCTCTGGAATGCCTGTATATTTTGCACTGGTTTAGAAATCATGTCTCTCCTGAGTTGAAGAAAATTGTGACAAAGATGGACTTCTCTACACATGCACTGAAAGGAAAAAAGATGGGGATGTAATCCTTTGGTTACCTGACTCATGCACAAGGGGTGTGCTCATGCATATGCATATGTATCAATTTGATGGATATAATTAATATAAAATGTCGTCAGGAAAGAAATATAAATAAGACTAAATTCATTTCTGCATATATGTATTAATTTTTGGGATTATCTATATCTACTTCACAAAAGAAACTATTTATTCTTTTCTTTCAATATCAAGTCACATAATATATATTTCTACACATATTACCTTAGTGACCTGTGAAGAACATAGTCTACAGACATGGTGTGTTGTCTCAAGATCAAGAAACCATCTTGGCACATCTATAAAGCTCCCATGGCTTTTACATGGCTGAAAAAAATTAATAAAAAACAGAACCAACAACAACGGAATAAAAACTAAATCAGCTGTTCCAGAACATTTTCATGATATTGATATTTTTCACCTCATCAATTTTTATTGAATGATTTAATCAACTACTCTTCATTACAGCCAGTTTTACTTTCCTTAAATTTTTTAAAGTATCATATATACATGTAGCTTTAAATTTGATATACCCTCCCAAAAATTAAATGAAACAACTATAATAATATCTTGTTCTCCACAATCTTTCGATAAAAATATTTTTATTTTAAAACGTAAATGTTAATACATGTACAAGGTATATATTTATCACCTCCAGTACATTCTCAGGATGGTCAACCACAGAGATGCAGGCCAGGCTTAGTGTTGGCTCTGCCATCTGGGCAAGGCAAACGGCATGTTGCAAGACCTGCCTGTGTTCAGTAGAAAGAGTAGAGAAAGGAATGATAGTTCTGGATGCAGCCCTGTGGACAGCCAAAGCATCAACCACACTCATGTGCTGTCCTGACTTGTATAAGATGTCCAACAAAGTCTGGTTGCACAGTACCACCTGTAGAGCAAAGATGTTTCATTTAGTTCTGGTCAGTCTCAAAATTGAACACGTTTAACGCGGATTACTGAGTTTTTTAAAAAAGAGTCAAAATGCTACAGAAATATACATGTATCTTCCATACTTATGTTAAAGTGATAGAAACCATGGCAACAGACTGCATATTATTGTATTATATGTACATATTCTAAAAATATCAAAGTCATACCTTTCTCTGCAATTCTTTTTTAATCATATCAAGCTCTTCCTCAGTTGCTTGATTACTGACTGGAAAAGCTTCTTCTCCATATTCTCTGGCAATATATTTTTATAGATTTATTATATAAAATGATTAATTTACATGCCTTAAAAGTTTAAATCTGAACTTTGTGGGCAAGAAATATTTTTGTTTTGCTAATCAATTCAGATTTAAGCGATACAAGAACAACAATATTTAGTTAAAACAACAACATGGTAATTTTGTGTCTTTGCTTGGGAAAAATTTTGGAGAACCTGGGCATTGATCCCAGTACCTCTCACATGCTAAGCGAGCGCTCTACCATTTGAGCTAGATCCCCTCATAAAGTAAACAGGAATATAACAGCTTTAGGTTCCTAGTTTGCATGACTTAAAATAATTACATAGTCAAAGGGCTAAGATGAACTATCCAGTAAATGTTATTACTTTTAACATGGCATTTTCCTTTTCATGTTTGGTTGAACACTAAATTCAATTTATCTTTATCATATCTTTCGGGACAAATGACTTTAAGACTACATGTAAGTCATTAAACAGTTTGATTCTACTCATCTGTTACATGTGTTAATGTGTCAATATTCAATCATGTATACAATGTACACATAAGTTCATATCTCAAGCAATGAGAGGGGAGGGCAGGTTAACTGAGGAACAATATGGTTATATGTACCTCAGCATGACCAATTCTAGTACATTTAAATGTACCAGTATACATAATAGATTTATAAATTGTCTTCTACAAATAGTTGGTCTAAAGCAATTTCAATTAAAATGGTCCAATCAAGGAGATGTTCAAACTGACCTGTATTTTCATAACACTGATCACTCCTGTGATTTTCTAGACAATAGGCCTATTGGTTTTCCTCGAAATGCATTATCAGTATTGCATATACCAGTGCTGACAAAAGAGAAAACCTAGGGACAACACTGGGCAGATCTCTGCTAGTTTTGAAGATATGAAGGGCAAGAAAATATGCAGAGTTCAGTTTGTGGTAAAAAAAAAAGTAGGTCAAAGGTCAATTTCAAGGTCACAGTAAGATTGCCAGTATATGACTTCCTATTCAAGTTGAATAGTAACTTTGGACCTATCTCTGCCAGTTATCAAAATATAAAGGATAGAAAATTTGCAAAGTTCAGTTCATGGTGAAAAGTAGGTCAAAGGTCAATTTAAAGGTCACAGTTAGATTACCAGTATATAACTTCCTATTAAAGTTTAATAGTAACTATGGGTGTATCTCTGCCAGTTTTGGAGATATAAGGGCTAGAGAATTTGCAAAGTTCAGTTCATGGTGAAAAGTAAGTCAAAGGTCAATTTAAAGGTCACAGTTAGATTACCAGTATATAACTTCCTATTAAAGTTCAATAGTAACTATGGGTGTATCGCTGCCAGTTTTGGAGATAAAAGGGCTAGAAAATTTGCAAAGTTCAGTTCATGGTAAAAAGTAGGTCAAAGGTCAAATTAAAGGTCACAATAAGAATGCTAGTATATGACTTCCTATTCATGTTTAACAGTAACTATGGGTGTATCTCTGCCAGTTTTGGAGATATAAGGGCTGGAAAATTTGCAAAGTTCAGTTCATGGTGAAAAGTAGGTCAAAGGTCAATTTAAAGGTCACAGTTAGATTGCCAGTATAAAACTTCCTATAAAAGTTCAACAGTAACTATGGGCGTATCTTTGCCAAATTTGGAGATATAAAGATCAGAAAACTTCAAAGTGCAGTTCATCATGAAAAGTAGGTCAAAGGTCAATTTCAAGGTCACAGTTAGATTACCAGTATATGACTTCCTATTCAAGTTCAATAGTAACTTTGGGCATATTTCTGCTAATTTTGGAATATTTAACATTTCCCCAACTGAATATTGCAATGTTGTAATATTTGATACAGCGCAATGCCTAAACTATATTGAAAACAAAAAAAAACGGACACCACGTCCAGTAACGCACTTGACAAGTTCTACAAAATGCTATGAACAAAAGGTCTCTGGCATTTACCATTCCAGAATAAAAGCAAGTTTTCAGTTTCGGGTATCTAATGGCTGCTTCTCCCGTGAAAATGCACCGATTGACCCCAAACTCCCAAAGATTAATGGAGTCCCCAATTGTAACCCCTCACTATAACAGGAGAGCTTAGATCTGTGTAGTTTCCAAAAAATAGCACAAACAAATATTTTTTTGAAGAAAATTCCCATTTTTAGAAAATTTTGGCTTGTTTGACCTTGAAAAAAAGGTCAAAAGTCAAATTCAAGGGCATATTTGGAATCTCCACCTATGACTTTCGGTCAGACTTCTGTAGTAATTTTTCCCATAATTCCTTTGGTTTGGGAGATATTTAGCCTTGAATTTTCAAAAATTTTGACAAGGGTGCATTTCAACAAGTGTCACGCCCAGGCCAATGCACCGACAGAGACAAAAAAACCAGGGTGTTCAAGTTGAGATTATATGTGACCTAAATCCAAGAGATGGGGACACAGGGCCAGGCGGTCTAGGAGGAGAAGCGGTAACGGTGACTTGTTTCCGGCGCCCGACTGCGGAGCCGGCGGAGCCGCAGGAGCTGGCGGAGCTGTACGAGACGGGTCGGGACTAAAACCATGAGTACCGCCAGCGTATACGCTGGTGGTACTAATTAAAACAGTGCTGGATGTGGCCTTTTACAGGTACTTACAGAGAAAATAGATTAGCCATCAACAGGGCCACATTGGAACTGGTATACTGACAAGCATGACGGACATCTCGATGTTTGCTACACACAATACAAATAACAGTGATAACCGAATATTATTATTATTATTATTATTATTATTATTATTATAGTGTACATGTATATAATTAGCATAGAATACAACCTTACATACCAAAATCTTAGATCTGATAAAACTTAATACTAACTGCTGATACCAACAATTTATCAATTTCAGGTCTGCAAAACAAAGACTGAAAGCAATGGTATTACATCAAAGGTAGATTGACTTATGTAATACTTCTACCAGGTTTAACTTACTCATCCTTCAACAGGTGATAGTATTGCTGTGCTTTAGATGGATCCTTTTCAAGTACTTTGATCCACATGCAGCTTACCTGAAAACAAAGCAGAAAAAAGATCAACTAAGCAGGCACACTATAACAGTGGTTCCTACAGAGTTATAGTAAATACTGTTCAGGAATATTGGTCAAAAACTTTTTCACTCGTTTCTATTAAGTTGTGCTAATTCTCAGTTCTGTCTATATATTTAATTTGCCTCCATTGCTTCAATATCACGCAAAGTAATATATCATTATTATCATATAAAAAACTGTACCAGATGATCTATTTCACTGGGCTTTGGTACTGCATTCCTGTCTCTGTCTATCTGTAGAGATATGAAGTCCACCCCAGATGACAGGTCCTCTTCTGTGAGGTCAGACACCCACACTCCTTTCACATACAACTGGCCAGAATTCACAGGGTCTAGTAACAATGTGCCTGGAACAAATTGGTAAAAATAATGAATAAGCATGGAGAAAGTTAAATTGTATCTTAATGTCACTTTTCGGGCAGCTGATGTGATTTCCAGGAAGTAATTAAAAGTTATATTTTGTCAAATGACAAAGCAGTAACAGTTATTATTGTGAAAATACAATCAGTTATTATGAAAAAAAATGTGAATGATAATTGAAGAGTTAAAAACTCACCTAATTCTGTTTTCACACAATTCACTGGGGGCTTCAGGAACAGAAATTTATCAACCTGAAGAATATAAGATAAATCTTTATGACAATTGTTCACTTGCAATCACTGTAGCCTAAGAGTTTCTAATCATTCGAACAGTCCAACTTCAGGGCCCCGTATCTCGAAGGCATCGCGCATTGCGACCATGCGCAAGCGTCTCGATTCCATAACTCGCCCATACTCATCCCATATAATACATTGTAGCCTATTTAATATAGCTCTTTGCAATATGCGATGTTTTCGAGATACAGTAAAGTGAACTATTTGAAAAGACATGTCTGCCACTGATGGTTTGTTTATACATTTTTTAGTAATTAAAAGATCAATGCTATTTGGACATTATACAATAAAACTCTGAAAAAAATTAACACTTACACATTGTTTCCACTCCTCTTCCTTCAGATGAACAGTTGTGCATGTATCTGCTGCATCCAATTCAAAATTACTGCAGTAAATAATTTAGCGAAATAAGAATTTCAAACTTTTCAACTTTAAAATAAAAAATCTAGACAGATAGCATGGTGAATATTTAAGATTAAAACTAAAATAATGCCAACTTTTCTCTTTCATTGTGTTATATTCTATATCTACATTGTTAAAAATACCTCAAAGGATGGTTTTGGTTGGGTCCTGTCCTTCCTGGAAAAATAGGGAGAACAAAGAATTATAACTCTTTTGAAAGCACTCTGTTTAAGTACTGTACCTGGAGAACATTTCAGAAAATTAGGCAGTCTCAATTTCCTTTCTGGTTGTCTATTCTAACAGAATATATTCATTAGTAAAATCAGACATCAGATATACATGTACCTACGGGTAAATCACTTTTTCAAATACAGTACATACCGTACCTGTAACATATACTGCTAAAACCTTTTCTTGAAAGTTAGGATCTTCTTGAAGATCAAATCTCCATCTATCCTTATTTGTTTCCATAGTGACTAAGCGACCTTCACGAACTAAAGCTAGAGCACCAACTTTTAAACCCTCGCCAAACTGTCCTATAGTTTCTTTTTTATTGGCTTTATTGCTGTATCCCATCAAAAGAATCCTTTTATGCAGTGCAATGTGTCTGTTCACCATCTGCAGACGGCTGTTCACTCTGTCATAGCATAGCAATCCCAGCTGGTGCCTCTTGCCATCCTTAGGATGTTCTGCATAGGCTTCATAGATATCACAAAAATTTGCTTGTTTTGGCTGAAGGAAAAGAAGGAAAATTTTTAAGTGGAAACTGAGATAATACAGAACATCAAGGTCCATTGTCAAACAAAAACTCTGAATGTGAGTATGAGGTGTGAAGGTAAGGTGATTTACCTTTAATAACATTGAATCTTAATTGCCTGTAACTCAAGTACAGTGAAAGACATATCATACACAATCCCTCTTGGTGTTACATGTGCATATGTAGCATCAATGTGTAATTCTGGGGCCGTACAATAGTCCGAAGGTTCAATAGTCCGAAGGTTCATTGGTCCGAATGTTCACTATAGAACCTTCGGACCAATGAAACCTTGATTAAAAAATCGATGAAAATGTTACCACTTTTCGGACCAATGAACCTTCGGACCAATGAACCCTTGATTAAAAAATCGATGAAAATGTTACCACTTTTCGGACCAATGAACCTTCGGACTATCGAGACGCCCCCGTAATTCTAAGGGAAGGAGGTTGGAAATCTTACTTTATGAACGGAATAAGGTTTTATATTTCAGTGAGAAAGGTGGAAGATGGAGGGGAGGGGGGTACAGGTGGGGTCAGATTACAAAGCAGACCAGGGAGCGAGCGGGCTGAACTTTTGGGTGGGTTAATTGTTTGCTTTACAGCAAGTCCTACATGTAAGTACTAAGATCTTATAGATTTGATGTGACCTTTTTCAACATTATCAGGGCTCTACCTCTGAAAATTGTACGACTGGGTCCGATGAAACAGGGAAGTCCAGCTTGTCTGCAGTTTGGTAGACACCATCATGCCAGTTCTGGACAAGTTCTCGTACCCCTTCCCACATTTTCCACGTACTTGCATAGTTGGCTGTCAAAGTTAGAGAAATTGACTTAAAAGTCACGTCTATTGGATATGCCATAGCTTCAATATGTCACTTAAACTAATTTTGAATGGAAGAAACAAATTTTAAATATGTCCAAACCGTGTATCTTGTAAACGAACAGGTTTCATTTGGCCTCATTGATTTGACGGAAGTCATCAAATATTTGTCTGCTATCAAGAAAAGCTACACTTTAACATGATTTATGTGCCACTAAAACGAGTAACTCATTATTCCATTAACTGAAAACAATAAAAAAATTATGACAAAACGGACATATTTACACAAATTTGGATTGTTTTCCAATATATTTAGTTAAATTTTGGGGACCTAGTGGGGCTTATCTTGAAACGTTGACAGCAGTAGGTGGATAGTAGATGGATGTTAGCCAAAAAGTAGCAGAGAATTATCAACGTAGGTCTTGAAGTATAGTGCAATAAACAGGGCCGTAGCCTCCGGGGGGCAGGGGGGGCAGTTGCCCCCCCCCCTGGGATTTGAGGTGCAAAAAAAAATTATAATAATAATCGCAAAGGTAAAAGAAAAATAATTGCAAAGTTGGTATCTGTGAGAAAATGCACTCATTGCCACAAGACAATCATTCAACAATCTGTTTACAAAGGTGTACTGTTTTTAGCCAACTCAGTTCATGCCAAAAAGCTCACCCTCCCTTAGGGAGCTTTCCCCCAGGCTGTTATCAGGCTATTGTTTACCCTGACTGTTTGCCCAACAAAGCTGGGAGGGCTGTTTTGAAAAAAAATGACTGTACTTATGGCAAAATGAACCCACAATTTCTGACTTCTGATTGAGCAATAAATAACAGTTAAAATGCACCAGATGCCACATTATACATACAGTTTTTAAAAATTTTCCACACCCCCTCGTGTCCACTTACTGCCCCTCCTGGCATTTTGCTCAGGCTGCGGCCCTGATAAATATAAGATGCTGTGTTTGCTAAATGATACGTTATTCTAGCAATTTTTCCTAGTGGTCATTTTTCTGTAATAGTGTTCTTGGATATTGTGTTGATGGCAACATTATCATTGCTGTATTGACATCAAGCTGCCTGTTTACATCACGTGCCTTCAACACTGACATGATCGGTTACTTGTTGATACATCCCCGCACCGATACTCCCCCACAATTACAGATATACTGAGGGGGATTATCGGTGCGGGGATCTATTGGTGTGGGGGAGTAACAGCGTGGGGGAGTATTGGTGCAGGGGAGTAACACTGCGGAGAAGAGTATCGACATGACCCCACATCATCAGCATATGATGGGATGTAATGCCAACCCCTAAATACATGAAATATGTGGTTTCTTTTCTTGTTCAAACTGCAATAAATATATCATTGCCCCCCCCCCCTCCTCAGAACATCAAGGATGCAAACTTCAAAACTAAAAACTGTGTAAATATTTTGTATTGTGCAAAAGTCGACATTTTTCAAAATAAATTTATTTTCTGATAAAGTAACAATAAAATCCTTTTCTCCTTGGCACTTTCCCAATGTTGTAAACCATCGTTATTGCCAATATTTATATACAGTTTTACTCAACCAGAACAGATTGGATGCAGACATTACTTCACAAGTAAAATTGTTGCATTAAAATGAAATCTAAATAAAAAAAAAGATGTCTCTACCAGCTATGTTCCAGTTCATGTATCACAGTCAGCATATTACCCATCACCATTTTGATACTGTCGAAATGTTTGGAAGTCCAACCCTAATAAAAATGCACTCTTCAACTAATATATGCTTTTGTTTTTACATAGAAAGTAAAACATATCTACTGGTAAGTTTGTCATTTCTATAACATATCACAATTGTACTAGGAACAGAATTAAAAATTCCATAGAATAAAAGTTGTGCTAGAGAATCAAAAATAATTTCAGAGAATACTTGGTGAAAAAAAAAACTGTCAGAAAAAAATAGAGAAAAATAAAACTGTGTTTAACTTTAAACACTGATATCAATAATGATAAAATATTCATAAGTGGTTCTCTCTCCATTCTCTTAGGATAAATAGTATTAAGAAGTAGAAAATACACCAAATTCAGGAAACAAAAAGAATAAATTTTGTTGAACTCATTACTCTACAATTAAATATTATCACTGCTGACTCTAAACTTCTTGGAAAAGTTAATTTCTTAAAAATTTCCTTATAAAAGCATAATTTTTGACTAATAAAGATATAATATAAAACTGACAGATCTTTTGATCTGTAAATTTTGTAATGGGAGATGGAGTGTCCCATCATATCCTAATTAAAATATGTCATACAGCTGATTGTAATATACAGACATTTCCGTAGAACTGAGATCTAGAATATAGTGGATAAAAGTTATACAATGTGCAAAACATATAGACATTTTGAAGTAAAAGCAACTGTTTTTTTATACATCATTCTACAAAACTGGGCAGATATTCAACTCTGCAGTCTCAATTGTAGGGTTAAACAAATTCAGTTAAATTTAATCCACTGGTGTGAACTGGTTTATTCTTTGTATGTCTGTCAAACAAAACCAGAGAGGCAAACAATCTGACATACAAAAATAAGCATCAGTTGTTCTTCATTCTCATGAACAAAAGTCTGTTATTTGAGTATTTTATGCAGGTAACAATCAATTCGGATTTCATTTGGAAACAAAATTTCAAAAGGCAATCCCCTCCCAAAGGAAAAAAAATTAGGCATATTCATCTTTCAATGACCCATAACGTAGAGTAAAAGAAGCATAATTTGCCTGGCCCCGTTTTTCTCCTGCTCTGTAACTAGCAAATAAAAACTTTCCAAAATCTGTACTTTTGAACCTCTGAAAAAGAGATGGCTTGTCTTCCTCAACACTTTGAAACTCAAAGCTGGCCACCTCAGGATCAATGGGCACCATCAGTTTTCGCCTAGAATACACAGTGTATCCTATGGCTGCTGCGATGATGAAAATCACCATTAGTGCAAATAATATAGGAACAAACTGGTTGACGGGCTCATAGTCTGGAAGAAAAAATATCACAAATATCAATTCATGCTGTCATCTGGTGAGAATATATCAAATGATTATAAAAAGAATTCTCTTCCAAATGTACTGTGCAAGACTAAATATGTGATTAAATACACTGTAATTTTATAGTCTTGTGAAAAATGGTGCATGAAAGGCACAAATAACATATTTCATCATTCTACATTAAATCAGGTAAAATGTATACATACCAGGGGCATTCACTTGAAGTGTATAATTACCATTCGTCACACTAACTTCATTTGATACAGTGAAATTCATCATATATTTGCCTCCTTGGTGAAAAACAATATTCAGCTGAGAAACATCAAGTTTACACTTGTCCAAATTAGATGCTTGGTAGCAAGTGTTATTATCATCTCCTTTGTGTGCACAGATAGTTATATTCAGTGGAACACTGAAAATATAGGGAAAAGACAAAATACTGTCACATTCATGTTTTACTATGATGATATTAAGCATCAAAAATTGACAAGGAAACACATTTTTAAAAGTAATTAAAAAAAAGACAAATATACAGCTAGTTACTACTAAATAAGTAGTAAGAATTTGTCTTTTAATAAGACTTAAAACAGAGCTAATGAAGGTGTCTAGTGTTTTATGTGTACCACATACTTCAGGGGTGGATCCATATATATTTTCTGACAGTCTTCCAAATTATCTTTGTTGATCCATCCCCTATTTTTGACCGTCTTCCGACAGAAAACAATAGATACCCGTCAGTATAAACTTGAAAATCTGACCATCTTCCAGAAGATCCAGAAGACGGCCTAAATCCGCACCTGTACTTGTTGAGGGTGAAAGGAACAGGTCTTTCTATAGAGGCAAATGTTAAAACAACACTAGTCTCACCTTCCAGTACACTTTATCTTTCCAGAAAGCTTCTGTTCTGTCAAGAGAATAGTGTCTAACTTCAAATCCAGGTTTCCAACAGCATCTGCAAATATAGGTGGTTATTTTATCAAATTCTTCTCATTTATTCTATATTTTGTCTGAAAATTGAATCAACAGGCAGGATACAGAATAATCTTCCTTTGCATTCTTCTTAAAAATGCTACACACTAAGAGCAAAGTATGTCAAAATTCAGCTTTATTCCAATAGTAATCTTTAAGCACATTTGGCCATTTTTTACTCAAACTGATATATATTAACATATTGTCAAAAAGAAATAACCCTAGAAAGATGATATTGCAGTTTTCTCATCAAACCGTCCAGCGGTCATTTGGACAACTGCCAGCACCACAGGATGGTCTATATTTTCAAAGACGGCTGGACGGCTTAATGATTTTTTAAAAATATGATAGCTTTAGGCATATTTTTGTAGGAAATTACAGGTGGTAATTTTGGATGACCTGTACCCCCAATCCTGGGAAAAGCCCTGTACTGCATTAAAAATAAACTTCAGCTATCTAAAATTTGTAAGCAGCAGGAACAATTACCTTTTAATACAAGAGACCTATTTGTCAACTTTGTCTTCACCATTTGTGTACTGTTTGTGTCATTCAACATCATCACAATAGTTGTATTCAGAGTCATGTGCTGGTCTCCTGTACTTGTAAATATGTATGTGAAATTATTGTTTTTTCCCTTGTCTTTATCTTTGTATATGCTAACCTCAGGATTCCAATGGTAGAAATAAGACGTGTTCAGTATTTCAGGATTTGTAAAATTGTCCAATGCCTTGGCATAAAATGTTACATTTGTCCTTGTGGCAAAAGTTGTTCCATTATTCAGTTTAGATTTAACCCTCTGAGAAATTGATACATTGACATTGAGGAATTCTGAAATTAAAAAAGAATTTACATATATGAATGTAAACATCAACAAAGGATTGTAATGGAATGTGATATCAATCAAAAATAAAATAAGTGAGTTGCATCTGTAAAATCATAATGACTAATAACCTAAATAACTAAGGGCAACATCTGGATTACTATATGTGTGGGTTAATTCCAATCAGGTTATCTAGAACTATGCATTGATAAAATCTAAAGTACAGGGCAACCTATTATTTAAATATTATCTAGGCTACACACAATGCTGAATATAGTGTAAGAGTTGTGGATTGTTGTGGCTCTGTTTCTAATATCAACAACCAGGGCTATGCAAGAAGTGGTAATAGTTCGAGATAAGCTCTTGGAATTTGTACAGCTTTGATGTCATATATTAATTAAATGACAATGAACTTGTTATCAGTGGCAGACATACTAAAATCAATTCTTTTCATTATATTTGAATGGAATCATATATACCACAAATGTATACTGGTTCTTGATGATCTTGATGATTATAAAAATTCTTCTTTAATACTATTGTAATTTTGCAAAGGACCATTTATTAAATGACAACAGACAAATCAAACTAAAAGTGTCAATAGATTGTTTTACAAATAATAATAACTACTATCTGTTAAAAAAAAAAAGAAGCAAATTTATAAACTTGCATTTCATCCTGTAAAGAACTTACCTGTAATAGTAAATGATGTATAGTTTTGAGCAATAAGGGTATCATTAGTACCAACTTTCCGAGGCTTGTACACCTGTACAGTCATATTATATGTTCCCGGTATAACATCAGGATTTCCAAAATAATCTCTATAAAAAGAAAATCTTTTTCTTCTCTGTATTGGGTGGACAGTTTTGTCTGCTCCATCAGTCCATATATATTGAAAATAGGTTGGTTCTTTTTCTGGGCTGTGATGAAGATTCACCAGATCAGCATAAAATATTAAGGTTGAATCAAGAACTCCTACCTGGGTGCAACTGAGATGGAGTTCATAATCTGAAAAGAAAATAATATTCAGTGCTACTGGTTCTTCATTATGTATGTTTCTGATATTCATAATGCACACTTGATTAACTACATTTTAAAATGTGTGTGTGAGGGGGGATGGTATATGTGTACTGTATATTCATTAATTTTTTAGTCTGAGAAAAATGTTTTCCCTATTTCAAAAGAGACTGTCACTTGCAACTTAGACCCAAAATCCAATACAAATACATTTGAAGTCCAACTGTGTCTGTCTGATTAAGTATGGTGCTACATGTACCTCTGCCATCTATGCTAAAAAAATATCCATTACAACCCCTGCTTGAAATCACTAGGGCTTTAACTTTATAAATATGGCAGTGGTTATTACAACAGAGTGATAATGATTTGCTTTTTAATCATAACTACATGGTCTTCTGAAAAATATTTTAAGGTTAATGTGTCACAAATGGGCATGGAATATAACTCCACACATCACAGTAAGAGACGTGATATGTTATCTTCTTGTTAACTGATGAAATATTGTCACTTGCACAGTCACAGTAGCACTCCTTCAACTGATTACCAAATACACTGGTCATGTTCTGATCACCTCTTTATCATGCACTGCACCATTATCACGGATCACTCTTAACGCACACTATTTATTATTAAAAATTATCAGGCAAAGTTTCTCATTTATCAATACTATGCAAATAAGTTTGAATATCCTGGCTCTAGCACTACTACCTGGGTACATGTATTTGTGATTAAGTATCTACAGGGTATTTGTATTACAATCATCCTGATACCAATACTAGTAATTTTATAACCCCATGCAGCTAATATATATGTAGATCTATGCTAATTTTAATTGGAGAACACTGAACAATGAAACATTTGTCTGCTTCAAAAAATGAAAGGACACATTAAAGACTACGTGTCTGAATTATTTACTAACATTATGAAGAGGGTGACAAATGACAACGAGAGAAATTCGCTGTAGACTAGTATTATCACCTAAGTCAACCTAATATTCTTCTCAGTGATGATTTAACAGCAGGTCAGATAGCATTTTTGATACTTCAATCATCGCTTTTATATGTACTCACCTACTGAACTGGTACGGCTATGGTTCTCTTGCATAAGTTGCGAAGAGGTCATGGTTCCCCCTAGGCTTAGTACTAGTACAGCCAGCATGTACGAGTGCATTTGAACAAGAGTAGAAAATGATAATAATCCCTCGATTTTCATCTTCAGTTTACATCCTTGTAAATTACTCTGTTAACATTTTCTCTTGCTTTATCTCTATTCAAATTGTCAAGACACAGTTACCTTCCACAGCATTCTGCTTTCACGCATTCAAGCACCACTACTGCAGCCCGTTTTAAGACTTCAGAAGCTGAAGAGTTACATCAAAACAAAAGTGACTGTTTCACTCTTCAAACACGAAAGCGCCGAGGATTTGACGACAGGTGTTTGTTTTGCTACGTTACGCTACGTTTTGCTACGCGTTTCTCTGAAATTCTTTTAGAACCAAATGGCAGCTGTGCTCTTCTAATAAACTCCAAACGACAAGGAGTTCTTCATGCAGGCACTGCAATATGTTGTTTGGTATGTTAATGGCTGAGACTTCAAGTGTTAGCATTATAAATTGAATACATGCCTCACAGTGGATGTCATTTGCTGCACACCCAAGTTTGAGTGAGGTAATACAGAGAAAAAATATAACAATAAACATAACAGACGTTGTCATTACATATTGGTATATTACACTAATCACCATACATGTAACATATTTGGCAAGAGTGATATATTTCAAATTGCATTGAGGTAAACTGTTTTGGCACTATTGTAAGAAGTCTTTTTCTTAGCTTCTGTATTGCTTACTACACTGTATAAATGCCAGTCATTATGCAGTCTTTATGAAATATTTGACATATTGCACTAAATCGTTTTTTGTTGAGAGAAATGATGTACATGTAGGTCAATAAACTGATGATAGTTAAAGTAATAGAGATTTTGATATGTATTTTTGTTTATCAATTGAAGAATCTTGATTCCCATAGTCTGGTTCTACATTTGCTGCAAATTATTTTCAGAAGCCTTCACCCCTAGAAATAAAAAATGAAAAATATTAATTATAATAATTATTGATATTAATGAATAAATAGATTCTGGAACAAGAAAAGGAAAGTCAAAATAGTGTATATCAAGCTAACATTTTAACATTTAAAGACAACCAACCCTATTATTACAGTTAAATAATATATGTATTTATAACAATAAATAAAACAGAATGGAAACTTACAAAGTTACATTAGACCTCCTCCGTGCACTTAATCTCAATTTTCTCTTCTTGCGATCTTCATTTGAAGTTTCAAACACCATTTCTTGGTATATGGGTGTCACCTATATTGGTAAGACCAATAAAATTGTACAAAACTATTATCTTCTATAATTTTAATGAAATGTGTGAGTTATTCACATTAATATTCTAAAAAATGCTTTCTTTCAGGTAACATGAACACCAGTCATTCTGTTCAACCATGGAATATTACAATATGAAGCAGCTAAGTTGGTTAACTAAAAAATCTGATATCAATACATTAATAGTAACATGGGAATAACATGCAAAATTGTTCTACAGTGAAACGATCCTTAAATTACTAAAGGTTGATGAGGTATTGCAATGAAGGTCTCTACTCTAACCTTGTATCCATGAAACTTGTCCACAACCAGCTGTATTTGTACATTGGCCATGGTCTCTTTGAGTATTTCCTTGGCCGGGTCTGGATGTTCTGCTTCATCCTCAAGTTCTTGAATCCTTCGCTTACGCTCCTCAGCACATTCTTTGTCAACAAACTTGATGGCAGCTCTGAAATAAAATTAATCTTGTGATTTTCTTCTTGATTAATGATTAAAACAATAAAAGAAGAGAAAAAGATTCAATAGCTGTAACAATCATCAAATTTCCTGAATACACAATAAACTTATGTTCATGTTACCTTCTGCTAAGTTGTTCCAGAAACAGTCTCTTTCTGACCTCAGATAAATCCACAGAAATGTATTCAGCCTCTGTGACTTGTTGCTAAAAAAATTGAATACAAAATAAATAAACAAATAAGTACTGTAACATAATGTAGGTGGGCATATTTTATAATGAACATCAATTATTTTTTAATTATTTTTCTATTTTCTTCATGCAAATAATATTTCTCATGCTGAAGAGTGATTAACTGGTAAACTTACCAATACCAATGCAAAATGTCTGTTCATTTCTGACTGCAGTTCATCCCAAGCCTTCATGCATTTCTGTGTAAGGGATTCCTTGGCCAGAACTTTAAATTCATTAGCCCGGCGAAACTGTTCTACTCTTGTCTGAAGTAATAGTAATTTTACATTAAAATTTTTTAACAAATTCTGTTTGTGTTTTCTTATCATTTCACATACAACAAATACTGTAGTTGCTGTTCCTGGTGCAATATAATAAAAATGAATAATTTCATAAATGCAATAGTTTTTAAATTTACATTATAATCAGGCAACTTACATTTTTCTTTATCATAAATCTTACCAGAACATCAAACTGAATCCTGTATAACCCGTTCTTCATTTCTCGCAAAGCCCTGTCCTTCATCTCCTCAGCATAGTGTATCAACTCTCCATCCAGGTCCTCCTCATCCTCCTATATAATAAAGAACTTCACTTGTAACAGATAGCTCATAACCACTGGTGTCATCCTCATCACAATATTTTACCAGCACAATATATTTTCTTTTATTCAATTGGCTCAAACATTCTTTTGTTTAAGAGAACCAAGGAGTTATATACAGTGCATATATATATATATATATATATATATAGAGAGAGAGAGAGAGAGAGAGAGGGCTGAAATAAAGTGGTTCTCCTTAATGCATTTTGCTATCCAGGTTGATATTAAGTTGGCAAAAAAGAAATGAAATCTAATGCATTGCCCCTTTCACATCCTGTAACACACCATTCTAATTTCAGTATTTATCAAATATGCGAGTGTGAAGGTAAAGTGGACATGTACCTCCATCAATTCCATGGCATCTAACAGGTCTTCTTGCATAATATGCTTCCTCTGGTTGGTGACAGATATGTACTTCAGTAGGTTCTCTGTGCTTGGGGACTAATAGATAAACATACTCATTTATCAAATAACTCCATAAAACAATAAGTAACAATATAATGAAGAGCAATTAGGAAAATTAAATGACCTCAAATCATCATGGTGATTTTATTTTAAAAATATGGTATGTTAAGGAATCTAAATAGAGATATTTTGTGGAAACATGAAAATAGAATAAAAATGCTTTTCATTCAATAGACATGAACTTAGATGGTTCACTGGCCAAAATTTCCCTTTACCTGCTCTAGATCATAACCCCCGCTTAAATTTTCCATTATTTTTATTTGCCGCTGTCTTTCCTCTTCCATCTCACGATCTAAATCTCTCTTGTGGATCTTTTGGATGAGAATACCCTGCATGTGGTCTTTCACCACCTGGGCATTCTTAAATGTTGTTCTTTTTCTCTTCAGGGTATTTGACTGGAATTAATATAAATCCATATAAAAACTGCTGATGCTCTTTCAACCCCA